CTGTGACCTCAGCGACCTGCAGCGGCAATTGTTCGAGGACTTCACGAAAAAAGAACAGAAGGATATCGCTAAGATAGTTGGCAGTACCGATAAGGAGGCGAAGCAGCATATCTTCCAAGCCCTACAGTACATGCGCCGCCTTTGCAACTCTCCCGCCCTAGTCGTCAAAGAAAACCACAAGCGATACGATGAAATCCAGAAGTCCCTCGCGGGAAAGAATTCTCATATTCGTGATGTCGCACACGCACCTAAGCTGACTGCTCTTCGCGATTTACTCGTAGACTGTGGCATTGGCGTTGACCCCTCCACCGAAGGTGAATTGGACACAGGAGCCAGCTACGTCAGCCCGCACCGTGCCCTCGTTTTCTGCCAGATGAAAGAAATGCTGGATATCGTACAGAATGACGTTCTCAAGAAGTTACTGCCATCAGTCCAGTATCTCCGACTAGATGGCAGTGTGGAGGCGACCAAGCGACAGAACATCGTGAACCAGTTTAACACTGATCCCAGCTACGACGTCCTCCTGCTCACAACCAGTGTTGGTGGTCTCGGTTTGAATCTGACGGGTGCGGATACCGTAATTTTCGTTGAACATGACTGGAATCCGCAGAAAGATATCCAAGCTATGGATCGCGCGCATCGTATTGGGCAGAAGAAAGTCGTTAATGTATACCGGCTGATCACGAGAGGCACTCTGGAGGAAAAGATATTGAAGTAAGTATTTATCTATTTGAGACCACCCAGCCTTAAGAAAGTAGAAAATGAAATATATGTAATGTCCTATACTAACAGACCACGTACTACCACAGCCTCCAACGATTCAAAATCGACGTCGCCTCAACTGTCGTTAACCAACAAAACGCCGGCCTGAGCACCATGGACACAGACCAACTACTAGACCTTTTCAACCTGGGCGAAACTGCCGAGGGCGCTGAGAAACCCAGCCAGGATGGCGGGGTGGGCGGTAATGAGATTGACATGGTCGATATCGATGGCGAAGTTAAGGAGAAGGGCAAGAAGGGTTGGCTTGATGATCTTGGCGAGCTCTGGGATGACAGACAGTACCAGGAGGAATATAATTTGGATTCCTTCTTGGCAACTATGAAGGGCTAGGAATTTATCCGCGAGTTATGAATGTAAAGGGGAATGGAGACTTTTTTTATTTTAATTTTAATTTTAATTTTTTATTGTTATTTTATTGGCTATTTTCGTTTGTTGCGCGGGCCGGGGGTGAGTAGGGAAACGGTGGAGGCGTGCCTGGTTTCTTTCTTTCTCCTGTATTATTTTTGTTCATTATCTTATTTTCCTTTCTGCTGGCGAAGCGGTGGTATTGGTCAATCGGTGGGAGGAGGGGTGTTTTGGACCTTTCGAGCTGTCTTCTTTTTGATGCTCAGCTAGGTTATATAGAGTGGGAAAAGGGAAAATGGAAAGCGAAAATCTAGCTTGGGGATGAATTTATGGGATGCAAATTTTCTGATTCGTTTTTCTCTTTTAGGCTCCGCCCTTCCTGATTGGGAGATACAAAACTCGGTGTTGTCGGCTGATTTCGCTGTATTTGCCAATAGGGGGTTTCGCGATCTTTTGTTGCCTTGCTCCCATTCTTGTTTCTTTCTTCTTCATTTCACCTTTCACAAATATATTGATACCCCCCCTTGGAAAGCTGTTCACCCTTAGCTTGAACCTGTTCGCTCCAACTCTAATTGGTCAAGATGTTCATGATTATCATACCCCGTGGACAATTGATCGTCTGAAAGAATGATATGGTTTGAAAAAGCATGATTGATTCCTAGTGGCTAGCTTTCAAATTCCATAAGAAGCATGAGCTTGTAGTTAGTTCTCCCCTGTCCTCTAACAATTGATGGGATAAATCCCAATTGGGAATAAAGGGGGAAGGGTATGAAAAACACAACGGATAAAACAAGGCAGAAGAGGCAGGAGCTGAAAGTATCAGAGTAGGCTACAAGTCCACTGAGCAGACAGAGAACTTGCCAAATAACAAAGTTGGAGAACTTATACCGAACAACAATCGTGGAGGGTAGTAATGTAGTTGCTGAAAATATCCTCCACTTCCAATTCGCATTTCGAGCTTTCCGCGAGCTAAAGCAAAAAGGGAAAAAAAAAAGAGAGAGAAAATACTCCTTCATGATATGCCTATGAGATACAAGGAATACCAAGTCAAAGAGTGGCATAAAGACCCAAAGACCCAAACATATGCTGCAACATTCGGGTAGTGATAATTAAAAAGAATCATGAAGAGGAGAAATGAGCAAACCTTTGCAAACTCCACCTCTGATAAATAATCACCCATCCACACCAACCAGGACCAACCAACATTTAAAACCTGATAGTCCATAAATAAATTAAATTAAAAAAAAAAAAAAAAAAAAAAAAAAAGGGAAAACGGAAAACAGTTAAAACCAACCGTTATTGGAGTCCGAGTGCCAAAAACGGCATAAACAAAGCAAGATAAGAAAGATGCAAAGTGAGACTAGCATTAAATAGTGCCCACAATAAAATGTTTAGTTATTTTTTAGACAACATGTAGAGAAGCGAAGAGTGTGAAACTAGTTATGTTAACAAGAAGTTCGGAACTAGCGGCGTGTCTTCGGCTTTGAAAGCATATTTAGGCGGCTCATGCTCAAGACACCTCTACTTTTCTGTATTGACCGACTTGGGGTTCCAATACCCGGAGTTCCACGTTGCATTGGGCGGTTCTTGATTGGGCTTGGCGTATGAATATTTGTGATGGCAGGGATAGGTTTCAGCCTCTTTTGGCTCCGCTCATCGCACTTCGAGTTCTCTGGCATCTTGTTTTCAACATCCTCGTCATCCTCTTCATCGCGTCGTCGTTTTTTGTTCATGATGCCGTGAGGAATGGTTGCGTGGTTTGGAAATGACGGATATTGAACTTCAGATGCGCCTACAGCTCTGATTGTAGGACTGTTTCCAAAGGCGAGTTTTGCAGCTTTACTAGCCTTCGGAGGTGTTGTTGGCGGAAGAGTTGGATAGGAAATCACTCCTGATTTTGCTGGCTCAGGAGGTAAATTTTTGGAAGACGTTGTTGGGGATAGATCCGCAAACGCATGACGGACTTTGGTGCTGGCAGAAAAATCGACATGCTTTTTTACAGTTGGGGCCTCTTGTATGTTAAAAGTTTTCGCTGGCGGCGCTACATGAGTACCTGCAGCAATCTTAACAGGGTCGTTTGAGAAAAGGGGTTGACGTCGCCGGAGAATTGACTTGAGGTTGGTAAGGCTTGGTAATGTAGTTTTGAGTTTTGGATTGAACTCTGTTTGCGGAGTTCGTGGGGCAACGATTGACTTCGTTGAAGGGGAGCAGGGGAAGTTCGGAATTCTGGTGGTCTTGATTTGTTTCACGCTTGACGCACGGGAAATCGCTGATTTCGTTGGGGTAGTTAAAGACCGCGGGTCGTCTTGCCCAGATTTGGGATCGAGTTTATTATCGGACAGTCCGTCCTTGAACAAAGGTTTTCGGGCCGGTGTGCTGTCGATATTGGAAGACTTTGAGCGCTTGACTGGGTTATTTGCAATCGTCTTTGTAGGAGACGCGAAGGAAGCCGTCGACTTCACAGAAGAAGCTACCTCATCAAGGCAGGCTTTAGAGCTGGTTCTCTTGAGAGATGGTTTAACTGGTGAGGGATGAATCCTTTCCTGGCGTACTCTAAATGAAGAAGGGTGTCCTGCAATCGAATCCATCTTTTTGAATTCCGCCATATGAGCATTGCTGAACCGTCCTGCTTTCCCTTTTGCTTTCGCAATCTTTCTGACCCCAAATGCTTGCCCAGCCTCCGTAGATTTGTGTTTCTGCGCGTTTTGTTCCACTATCATTTGTGCCTTAATCCTGGACGCGTCTTCTCGGATATTTTCCATAAGCTTTTGGGCTTCCTCACTAAGCTGTGAATCCTCACAGGAGAACTGTATGCTAAAGCTCGGAGTGTCTAGCTGCTCTGCCACTGACAGTCTGGATTTCGTTGGAGTTGCGGCTGATGCGTTTGAAGGATGATGGGGATCTTTCTGGATGGGTTTAAATCCCAAGCAAACGCCTGAGTCAGGTTTTTTTGGGGTGGTGTGGTGCACTTTGCTGAGTAGCATCTCCCCGAGGCCTAATTTCAATGCTCCTACCGTCTTTGGAGTTTTCAGAGATGCGTTTGAAGGAGGCCCCGCAGCTGGAGTAATGGAAGTGGAATGGGTCGGAGGGGTTGCGGGAACAGTTCGACTGTTTTCCGGGGAGCACAAGACCGGGTTTTCATCGCGTTCGGCGACCGAGACGAGCTTGGTGGAATGCTTAGAGGCTTGCTTTTGGGGCTGGAGCAAGATCTAGATCAGTTTTTGCATTCAAATGCCTTGTAAAAATAAAGTTTCAACAAATCTGTGCCAAGTTTCCAACTCACCTCACTTGCTGGAGTAATAGATCTGAGACGGGCAGACCGCCGCCGCACTGGAGTCGCCATGTTGGCGTGGACAGGTACCTCCTCAATGGCTTGAAAATTGAAGATAAACCCTACTAAGAGAGAGGACGCGCACCTTAAAAGGAAATCGAGCAGAGTATACGGACAGACATGAAGCGATGAGATGTGGTGGGGGAGCCGTTGCTGGTGAGCTGTCCAGGATGTGATCGTGAAGATGTTCTGAGAAGAGCTCTGATAGGCAGAGTAAACAAACAACAGCCCGCTTTTCCTAATCGGGTAAATATGACTTCATCTCTCCGCCCTAGCAACGTGAACAACAACACAATTATTCTTTATGGTTCCGCTAGTCCTCAAAGGCAATAGATACTATGGAAATTCAAGGATTGAAAGTATGTCAACAAATGTCTTATTTTGGACCCTTGAACTCATGACCCAAATAATACAATCTGATGTGTAGATGATGCCAAAACCAATGAGTTATTTAACAGGCAGGTAAAATTCAAACAGAACAAAGCTACTACGTAGTATGGACTTGGAACAAATAGAGCTTGACCGTGAAATTCATATCAAGTTATAGGCCGAACGGGTATGTTTCATCCACACCAAGAGCTGTGTGCGGCTGTGCGATCTCAAAAGGCGTAACGGCACGAGTTTCATCAAACCACACCATGGCGTCAAATTGACGAGAAAGAGACGCTGAGGAATAATGAGACATGACCTCGGTTAAGGGCCGATATACCACCCCGATAAAACGTTGTTTTCGCTCCTGGGCCAAAGCTCGCCGGAGATCGGGGTCTGCATGATTAGGTCGAAGGTCCAATAGAAAACTTGGGATGCCAGTTTCGTGTGCCACGTACTCCCAGCTATCAGGCTGGGATGGATTTACTTTCATCACTTGGACATCCTCATCCCAGTCATGCGCAGCAGCAACGGTACCTGTATGTGTGCAGCAGCCAACAAGAACAACATTCTCCTGCCCAAGATTCTCGCGGCACAACTGGCCAAGGTTGAGCTCGCCACGCCGAGTACCCATGCTTGTATATCTAGCATCGCCAATATGGCTGTTATGTGCCCAAACAACCGCTTTGGAGGACTCCGGTTTGACGTTAAGCAAGCGGCGCAGTGTCTCAAACATATGGGAGTCTCTGAGAGACCACGAATCCGCTGACCTGACGTACATTGCTTTGTAGTACGCCTCAGCATCTGCAACTAGGTAGGCATTCTGCTCAGAGCTGTGAAATTCCTCGCCATTATGCTCATGCGCAGAATACTCTAACCGCTTATTGAGGAGGTCGCGGAGCATTTGGATAACCTTTGTCTCGCAGGATTCCATCCGTGGACTAGTCAGTGCGGCAAGGCCATACTGTGATGGGTCTTCGACCCAGGCCTCCAGACAACCGTATTTCTGCCGCGCAAGTTTGGCCATAGGCGGGTCGACCCGATCGAGATATTTGATTATCGCCTGAATAGATAGAGCCATGCTGTATAAATCCAGGCCATAAAAGCCAGCTCGTCGCTCTTTGGGGAGACGTTCATTATGGTCCCTCATCCAATGTACAAACTCTTGGACCTCCTTGTTCCGCCACATCCACGTTGGGAAACGCCTGAACGCCGGTTCTGGCGTCGGATCTAGTTTTGACTTAACACCGGGACGCTGTCTCACATATCGATCGACTGATTCTGCATCGGGCCAGTCGGCTTCCACAGCTACTGTATCGAAGCCGTGGTGTAAAATAAGGTGTTTGGTAATTTCTGCACGAGCCTGGTAGAACTCGGAAGTACCATGGCTGCCGTCACCTATTAGAACAACTTTGTAATTCCCAAATTGATCAAAATGGGAGCCAAAAGATGGATCTCTAATCGGCGGTAGAACCTTCGCGGCAGACTTCATCCGCGAGGAGAGGCTTGAAAGGTGGAAAGCCATGAGGGGAGCGTGTAGCTTTCAAAGCAACTAATATAACAGGAACAACAGCAGTAGCAGCCGTGAGAGTAATTGATGGGCAAATTTATTATGATAACAGTTGATCTTTGCCTCGCATTTATAGTACACTCCTCCTGCGTGGAGCGGCAAATGTCATGTCAATATCATGGCATGTCATACTCAGGTAAGCATGACCTCATCATTTGGTTGCAGCTTCTACATAGTACGCGCGCGGTAAATGTTATTTTTTCCCCTACCAACCACGCACTCTCTAACACGGCGGATGCGTTCTGAAACGTCGCAACTATAATGCAATATTCTTCTCTAACAGTTTCTATCAGAAAAATATCGCAGAAGAGGTTGTTTTCTTTATTGACGATGTCGCTCCTTCAGAAATTCCAGGAGTCGATGGAGAGCGTCTATGGAAAGTTCTCCACTGTTACGGACGCTACAAAGTGGGAACCGCCGCCGAAATCTGGAGGCCATAGGGGCCGATATCTCTGGACAGATGCCTTTGGCGTTCTCAATTTCCTGACCCTTTATAAAGAGTTGTCGTTAAGAGGAGATAAGACTGCCGCTGACAACTCCTTGATCTTTGCCCAGCGCCTCATCACTACCGTCCACGATGTCTTGGGTTACACTCGTGATGGTCATTCTCGACTCCCCGGCGCAACCCATGAAGAACCCCTGAAAGGCGGTTTGCGGATCGGGAAAGAAGACGAAACGGGGCCCGATGGCGATGGGCAGTATTTTCATTACCTCAGTATGTGGATGTTTACTCTCAACCGAATGTCGATAGCAACAGGGGATCCTTCCTACAACAGGCAAGCAGTTTCACTCGCAAAGGCTATCCATCCATATTTCTTCCTCAACCGTACTTCGGACAGACCGCACATGGTATGGAAGGTCGCCATGGATTTGTCACGGCCACTTGTTGCAAGCGAAGGGAATCTAGACCCGATGGATGGGTACGTGGTTTTCCGCCTCTTGCAGGCATCTGCTATGAAGTATGGCGACGGAGAAATTCTTAAGGAAGAGATTGGCGATTACAGGAAAGTGATGGCTCGCAAAGGGGATCATTTTGTAACGAGGGATCCTCTCGATCTGGGAATGACGCTTTGGACGGCTCACTGGTTCGCTGGTCGCGAAAGCTGGGCGGACCGCCTGGTAGAAAGATGTTTTTTTCAGCTCCGTAATACTCACGTGGATTACATCCCTTGAAATGATAAAGCTTTGTTCAATTAAGGGATAAAATTTGTTTGAGCTAATTTTATCTGCTCTGGAGCATAGATCGGCTATTCGATGACAATCACTTCCTTGAGATGAATTTGCGGTGCCGTCTCGCATTCAGGGAGTTTGGAATTTGCCTTGGCATAGGTTGTATTACATATAGGGAGGCCAGCAACAATGCAGAAGGATTTTGCAATCGATCCGAGGAGATAATAACCCAGTGGGAGAAGCATATGTCGTCTTTGACTCCAGAAGACCTAAAACCGATTACCAGGGTTATGTATTCAACCGCGTTGATACCCGGGGGTAAGTGGTTCCTCCTTATAATCCTCAACAGAAGCATCGCCGCGGAACTCCTGCTCGAATAATAAGTATAACTAACGTGAAGTATCTTTCGCAAATAGCTTTCAAATCTCGATATTTGGGTGATGAGCCTATGGATCAAGTCTGATGTATGATATTGTGGGGGGGGGGAGGGGGAGACGGAAGTTTCATATCTTTACCCTTAAAAAATGTGTATTGATAAGACCTATAGTTATTTCGACAACGAGTGAGTACCAAAGGGTCTCTATCTCTTGCATAGGTCAGAGGACGTATAGTCTAAAACTCCGAAAAATCAAAACGGTGCTCTATTTACAGATCAACCAATAGTAATTCCCCTGGGGCGTCACTTTTTATCTACCGGGTATACCAATAATGTTTCTCCACGGGGTAAGTGTTCGGGGAAGGAAGTATACGACGTATACCGTTCCAATCGCGAGTATCAAGCCCGTCACCTAGGTTAAAATCGTTAGCCATCTGAAAGCAATACCGAGAATTTGATAGGTCAAGAGAGGATTGAGTGTATATATTACTTTCTCCAGCCAAGTATGAAACCAGATTGCTGTCATGAGCAGCATCCACCAGCTGAGGCCACCAACAGCCAAGGTGAAATTCCGACCCCATCTTTCAGACGAAGCCCTTTGCACAATCTCATGATGCTTGTTTCTTGGTTCTTCCAGTTCGCCTTCTACTACCGACGCTCCTTGCAATTCACAGAATAAGAAAGCACTTGTAAGAACAAGCATGAATACGTGTCCGCTCACATCATGGCCGCCTGTCCAGGCACCTCCTGACGCCTTGCAAGCTGTAGATGTCAATACCACGGCCAACTCAGATATTGAGTCTGTAGACCCTGGTGCGATAGACTTTTCACATCTACCGCCAGTAGCAATAAAGCTACGGTCGATAATACCGGGACCGAAAAACCATTGCGTTGTCAGCCACCAGGCTATTGTCACCAGAATATAACGGCCAGTGGCTTGTCCCACCCTCTTCAGTCGAGCGCCAGGAGATAAAAGTCTGTTGTTAAACGCTGGTTGCGTTAAGAGCAAAGATATGAAAGCCAGCGTAGTCCATAGCCAGCCAACCTTGACGAAATATACATTAAAGATGTTCCCCTTGCGCGCGAAATAATTGACGGGGTTTGTATCCGAATCTGGCGCGACGCCCGGTGAAGAGGATGCGTTGGCAAGGGGTCTTGCGGTTGGAGATATCAACGAGTACAAAGAGCCCAATAGAAGAGTCAGCGGATAAAGAGCGAGTGACAAGGGAGGCGGCTGCGGGAATAACGGTCGCGATGATTTGGGAGCGGTGGATGGTTTCCTTGTGGAGCCATTCAGGGGTACAGCATCTGTCGACGACATTGCTGTTGATATAACACCACCGAATTAGACGTGTATCGAGGAGAGGAAATGGCGGAAACCAGATGAATGGGGCATGTTAATGATGATCGTCCGTCATGCCACAATCCACCGCGCGCTTTTCTATCTCCCAAATCCTAGATGGACAAATTTGTTTTGACGTTGAATCCGGATGACGTCGTTCGTTGCTCACTAAGCAAAATCACGTGGTATTTTTCTTTTTATTGAACATCGTTCTAGATAGTGCGCACAACGCCTTGAAGCCCCAACTTTTACATCTTATGAATGTGAAATTACCCTTTACTGTAGCTCCTGGCTATTGCAGAAGCTCTACGGACTAGGATTTCAGCTAACGCCGTGTTACAAAAGCCGTTCAATTTTGGCTAGTCCAACTCTTACGACACAACAATCAGCTGGCAACTAATTATATCTTATTACCAGCCATACCGCTCGGTTTGGATTCGCTCAGGGTGCTACAATTTTGCATTCCCAAGAGAAGCTGCAGCAGCAGTTAGCTTATTCACATAGCCAATCCCCCGCCTACAATCCCGCCTCCTCGGTCACCGACGCCCAAGGGTGAGGATGGGCTTTGTAGGCAACAGGGTTTTTGGGAGAAATGGCGATGCTGCTACGTTGAATGCCTAGTTCAAACCGACCTTCTTTCCTAGTCGCACTTGTTCTACAGATTGCCTACAATCCGACGGCTTCTCGAAAAAGTTTACCCGGCATTCTTGAATGAGCCTATTATATGAAGGGTATGTACAATAGTGCTAGCTAGCGTTATGAACACAAAGCTGGGGCGTGCCGATTTAAGAATCGTTATGATGTGGGTCGAAAGTACATCCTTGGATGCCGGGTTAAAGGATTCATTATATTTCCTCAGCTCAGGAATATGTGTTTTCAGGAACGGCAAGATATGGCTGTCGAGGAGGTCGGGCCATGCCAGACCATTAAACTCTCTTTCTTGGAATATATTCGCTTCAAGAGCGGGAAATACCTGACAACCCTGGGCACCAAACCATTTTCGTCTTTTGCAAGACCTTGATTTAGGTTAGCTGAAGACTCTGTACCTCAGTTATGTGACCCTAGCGGTTGGTTGTTGTAACGGAATATGGAGGACTATCAGGCTGCATTGCCATAGCCGCAACATACGGTAGTGCGATCAGTTGGGACCATAAATCTTCAATATGTTGTGTTGGACCCATAGGGGAGATTTGGCGATACCCACAGGCTGTACTGACGAGTCGTGAAGAACCAGAGCACCTAACGCCGGACCGTTTTTCGAGCTGGGAACATCCCGGTTCACGGTTCCACATAGCGAGGCGTAGGTATAATGCATGTAATGATCATGAGCCTGTTGTGCCTTCTAGCTATTAATCTAACCCTGAAATCACAGTGCCATCTAAAAATGTCTGGATCCCTCCTTTGCCGGGTGCTCTGGAATACCAATAGAATTGTTCTTATCGCCCTTGGCCATGCTGGTCTATTTCCTTTTCGAGGTATCATCCGTGTATAACAAATCTCGTCGGTACATCCCATGATACCCTTGGTGACATGATTGCATAGAACAATCAAAATATTCCAGGCTCCGAAGGTCGCTCACCGACGATAAAAGCAAGGAAAGCAAATTAACACACGGGTTACTTCATATGATTGACCGCCCGGGAATCCCATGTAGCTCGCCACATCGTCCTCCCGGTATATCAGCCTTACCCAACGAGAGATCCTATTAGGCCATTCTTCAGGCGCCTTTCCCGTTTCCCCGCTATTAACAGAACCGGGGTAATGCAATTTGAAAGTTAGAAATTGCCAATGCGCACGGATCGTTTACATCTCTGCCTGAGGGGAAGGCTGTAACTGGAGGGGTCAAGTATACGCCCCAAAATCCTGGTCGAAACCAATAAATATAAGTAGGAAGTTAGTCTTCTTCGCTTGCTGGCTCCGCGTTTGTTCTTTTCTTTTCTTCACGTCACTAAAAGCTACCCGCAATTGTTGTCCGTTTAATTTGCGACATATACTGCGACAACCGTCGAACTTTCACATACTCGTGCGAATCTCTCCATCTTGGCACCCCTTTTATAGCGAAGCTATCGCAGCAGAACATATGCCTTCAGAAGGTGTCCCGAAGTGCCAGCGTTGTCGCAGGGACCACAAAAGGGTGAGTAATGCATACGACAGTATTTACGGGAGATTCCATTGCTAATGCAGACCCAGTGCTCACCGGAAGTCCGGGCATGGCCAGGGCAAAGATGCGAGCGCTGTGAAAACTATGGATATGAGTGCTCGGAGAACATGATGGCGCGAAGGTCAGCGCAAAGGGATCGTGAATCTGCCCCCACCATCAGCCGTCCTTTCGAGGGCAGACCTGGAAACTACCAACAGGGCGTAACTCGACCACTATTAACACGGCCAATTTCATTGACTGAAACAGAATCCATCCAATCCCCTTTCGTTGGGCTGTTCTTGTACCTCAAAAATATCGACTGGCAGACCTTGAGCTGCCCCTCGGCTGAATTTGGATCGGACCCATTTGCTGCAATGTTTCAATCGCATACATGTTTCCCCAATCTCTTTAACCCTCCCCTTGGAAGACGAGGAATGTATCTCGAAATTTTTGCAGAGAGCGAACGGCTAAAGCAGAGTCCCCCCTCGCCGCCGGTACCATATGGCCACTCGCTAGAAAACTCCGTCGTAACGGCCATAGTTCATAGGGTACAACGAGAACAACATCGCAAGGCGATGAACTATAGTTTCGAGGAGCTATCGAGAAGGTGCAGCAATTACATTCGTTACGGTAGTTACTGGAACAGGTTGAGAACTATGCTCAATACCGATGAAGTGCTCCTAATCGACCCAGAGTATTCCTTCGACAAACCCAATCCTGATACCACATTCGAGACCGCGGTATATTTTTGGTTATTCGGCATCCCTGGGTTGAAGGAACTGTGCCAGAAATTGTCAGGGCTCTCTCATATGATCTTGTGTTTAGCGAGAACTCCGCATGATGATCCAGTACGGAATGTTTTGGCCACGCAGATCCTTAATCGCCTTAATGAGGTCCTTGGTTCAGAAGTTGCCTCGCTTCCCCAGCCTTCCCAACCTCGCTACAGTATTAACAGCAACAATAGTAGCCACGATAATGGTCACTCCTACGTGGCCGCCGCCACGATTGGTAGTTCGACTGTGGGACTTCGAGATGCGGAGCCAGAGGATCTCTTTTCATCTGATAGCGTTGCCCTTCAGGCCGGATTCGGAGTCGGCTACGTTTATCAGGGTGCTTGGAACAATTGACCATTGAAAAGCAGTGCTTGTTGCCCATTCCGAGCCCCCTCACCGCTTCGAGTCATTATCCATTGCCCCGCCTACCCGTTGGTTTGGTTGCTTGAGTGGCTTCATTTCCAATTCCGATTTCAGTTCCATTTTCTCTTTTTTGAGTCTGCATTCCTTTCCATTCTTCTGGGTGAGCGGTTCCGAATTGAGGAACGCCAATTCTCCTAAACCCTAAATTTTTAGTCTTGAAGTGCGTTGGTCCGTGGGTCTTAGGGATGATAGATGTTCACCATAGTTCATATTATATGCATTAAAGTTTTTTCAATATAGTAAAGGGTGTATTTTTGGATTTACTCCTATTCCATCTAGATTGGGTAAGCCACCTCGGGTGCGTCCGTAGGCTGCCTGGGAACAAAAGCAGGAAGGACTTGCGCCCCCTTCAATCATGTACAAAAATGCCTAACTAGATTATCTCCAGAGCGAATCCGCGGAGAGACCAATAAACTCGAGGTATTCTCGTTCCGTGGATTTTGACAGGCAGAGAGGCGCAAGAAGAAATGTATGATGGTGTGTCCAGCTGGTTGTCCATCACTACCAGGAGCGCCAGAAACAACAATGGAGGAAATTACGTTCAGTATTCCCTTTCGTCTTCTCGCGCAATCTTAAGGTTTCGGCAAATGAAAGTGATTCCACTAATAGGCGTCTCACACACATTAGAATTTAGGATGGAGGCGTTATAGAAAGTTGCCTAAATCCCTGCATGTGCAAGGCATGTGCATGTACAGGTACGTACGAACTAGGGCCCCCACGAGCAGGTGAATTAGTTAGCTAGCGAAGTACTCCGTAGATGCATCTGGTAGATAACTTGATACATATTCATAATAACATGAGAGCCCTCGGCTCGGCTGTCAGCAAACCAGGGAGGGAGAAGCACTATACTGGCGGCTGTGCGGTATTCATCACAAGACCTCTCCTGGCGCGTTCCTAGAATGGCGTTCACATATCCCTACTACTTTTTAAACTTGTTTCTGGGATCATACCTTCCGCCTAAGCCATTCCTTGGATAGCAGGGTGGCGGGAAAGAGGCGTGAGAATGAGGTGTCATCCTAGACTAGAACAATGTCCGCACCCCCACACGGAGAATATATAGGCCTTTGTGTAGTAGGTTTAATCGATTACCGCTGGTTTGAAATAGATTCACGCCCAATGGATATGCTCGCTCGTCATGTTGGTGTACCGATATTCGGGTAGTTATGTAGAAAGTTGTGGGTCTTGTGATATCAAAGCTTGTTCGCAACCTGGGGGCTGGCCTATTATGTTAAGATTGATATAATAACGGTCTGCAATGCTAGCCGCTTAGCAAGTGCCAGAGAAGGTAAGGAAAGTTGTAAGGGCAGAGTGGGGTCGAATTTGACCTGTCCTGTCCGAAATATCGTTCCCAGGAGAGAAGGCTTTTGCTCACCGCTTGCAATATCGCCATGACTGGATCGAGGCTGCCAGGGTGCAGGGATGGACAGGAATGTATTCCTACAATATAACCCGGAATGTGCTGTGCAAGTCTCACCACAAAGGCTATTTCGCTCATCTCGTCGCTAGTGAAGAATTGACTCCAGGTAAATGCAGCAGGGAGAGTTTCCATTGCCCTATTTGAGCTTAGAATGCTAAGATAATGTCCAGGATCTCGGCGTGAAACATAGAGTGGCTGATGAGCCCTCAATTTTGTCAAAAGTTGTTGGTTATCGAGGGCTGATCGGGGAACAACAAAGAAATCAACCAAGCAGCCCAACAAAGGAAGAAGACGTCATGCGTCTGGGGACGCAGGATGGGTACGTAGTAGATCCATAGGATAATGGGTACTTGGTACTGACCATACAGTCAGTTTGCGACTTTCTTGCACATTCTCGTAGACCGAGAAACAATTGTACATGTACCATACGTTGGTACATGAACCATTCACGCCTTGCAAAACTAAACATCTCTTTTTTTTTTTTCTTAGGTCCAATTGTGTTCATTCCGCCATTCCGAGTGCAGACTTCCAAGGCCGTTAATTGTTTAAATCGTCTTACCCTTTTGCTTTTGATTCTCTTAGGCAATGCTCTTTGTCGAGGGAGTAGCAATCCGAGTCCGGGAGAGGTTCCGAACCCAATAAAAATGAACATTTAGGACACCTGCCGCCTGAATTCAAATAACCGGCTGTCATCAAGCCATAACAAACACACGTGGGCAGGCCCAGGGCAAAAATAAAGGACATGCCCTAATCCGGCTTGCTGGATCCGAAAACATTTTCACCCTCTGCATAACTAACACGATACGGAGCATCCAGGGGACAGGATGGAAATGCCCATCGTAAAATTTCTTTTTCTTATGGGTCGTTTTCATTGGACGACTGTACGGTACTTTCCCGTCATCCTGAATAAGCTGTAGTATGCGCTTTGATCTCCAAGCAGAGGGGAGAAGCCTTGGCAAGAAAAAGCTGTCCCGGTGGACTGGATAGCCGGAACGGGTTCAGTTCTTCCCCGACCAATGAGAATCTGTCAGCATTTGAGGCACATCACTGCATTTTAGTTCGGGATTGGGTTCCCGGGGCGGTACACGTTTGTAAAACAACGCTGGGAATGTGTCCTGAAGCTTGTGAATTTCAGTGGCTAGCCTGATTAGGGGAATTGGAAACATTCCACCTACTTTTTAACCTTTCCAGCGGCGAATGTAGAGAAGGGAGGATCGGTGGCCTTGCAGCTCCAGGCTGATCACGAGCGGCAAAGTCCTGTTGTTAAAATGCATAGGTTATGGAGGAGCTACGGGAGTAGCAGATGATCATGGGGCTCTCCAAGTCACAATTAGAGAAATGCTGTTGGTTCTAAAATATCAAATGATAGACAACCAATTCTCGTAACGGATTGGAAGCAGCGATTTTCTCACGCAATGGAGCCATGATATTAGGGTGGCTATGTTATCAAAATTCTCATTTGCATCAAAAACTATCCAACGTGGTATCACTATCAAGATATTCCTGGGCACAAAAACAAGCGGTGTTGCTAAAAAATGGAGATGCTGTTCTGTGCTGATAACTCCGTGGACAACTCCCGAGGCGCAGCCGCAAAGTCTTTGGGGGCTCCAGATCCAGGAATCCCTTCGGGTTGCTCCCCACGCTTCCTGCAGTGCTGCAAACGGATTACAAAAAGGGCCGTATCATGCAATTTTTGCGGATAATCAGGAGGTTGGGATTCATAACTCGACAAGGTCTTTTGGCTTGCGTGAAAGCCTGATCGTATTGGACTCCCATTTCACACAGGAAAGGGAGCAGAGCCGATCTTGTTACGGTTATTTTGACTTCGAGTCTTCGTTTGTATTGGCGAGACCGCTACGTGGCTCTATAGCGTTTAGGATTTCGTTACCAAAATAAAAGGAGGCGTAGCTGGGGACCACAATCCAAAATCCACTGATTCCATAAAGTGGATTGGTTAACTAGATGACCAAAAGCCGATGCAAGACATGATGGTGTAATATTAATAATGAGAGCCTTACTTTGGAATGATCCACAGGAAGATTAAAGTCCAGAAGCTGTTGTGCCCTACATTGTCGAATCCAGAACAGGCTTCATTCAGGCCTGAAACATCGGAGAGATATTATTAGCTAGTGGAAGAGTAAACAGTGGCCGAATATTTTCGAACACTCAGGGTGGTGTAGATAGCGACAAGCCATCACAAGCTTTGGAGAACTCACCATATAGCACTGTTTTACTGACAGTCATTACACTACCACTGAAAACCACCAGCAGCGCAATCGCTCCTAACCTTCCGCCGATTGATCTCCGTGGGGCAAAGAAATCACCCTTTGTCGCTGACTTGCCTTTGTTCTCGCCCTTATAGTTGGATGTCGTCCCGTAGTTAAAGAGCACAAACAAATAGAAAAGGTAGCACGCAGTTTCAACTAGGTTCATCAGGCTTTGCGCACTTGTGAACCCATTTCGGTTGTTCCATGCAGGCCAGCCATAGATATAGTCGATGGTGCCATAGAGGGCATACGGACTCCAGATGTAGTGCAGACTCCCGCCGGGCATGCTATGTGGTCGAAGTAAAACATAGCTAGCATCCCAAAGAACGACTGGAATTGATATACATAGCCAAAGTGTCACGATTACTGATGGAGTGTGTCGCCATTCACGAGCAACAACATATCGATTCTGATCCTTTTCTGCGTGCGTATTTACGCCGGTTGCACTTGGCTGGGGGAAGTCCCTTGGATGATGGCGCGTGGACACCATAGTGACCCTCTTCTCGAGACGATGTCACAAAAAGAAGACAGAATTGGAAAAGATAATTGGGGGGCGAGGTTCGAAGATTGCACTGGATGATATTTGATTCGAAAGCCCAGTGGGTAAATCAAGCAAGTATCTTGCCGGTGATAGACCAATACGAAGCGGCTTGGGCTACCTAATCCAAAGGTAAAGGGTGCTGCTTAATAGGCAAACTCTATGAAGGACACCGGGTAAGTAATAATAATAGGTAAATCAACCGTTCAAGAGAGGAGATGAAAATGGAGTCCGTCCTTGGTGTGGTGTGGCGTCACTGGGTTACATCGAGCGATGACTAAAGGAGAGAATTTACAAGCGGGGCATCCCTAGAAGCTCTAGAAAAGCTAGCTGGATTTTGGGAGGATATTTCTATCATCCATTGTGCTGATTTAAATTCTTGAAGGATATGTAGCCAATTCAGTTACCACGAACGACGACGTCCTTTGTCGTTGTGGTGGCTGTAAGTCACGTGGATTTCGGCAATCGCGCTTAAATTATGCGACGTTTCCCTCGGAAGGGGATGGGATACCATTCTCGCCTCTTCTCACGCCGGTCCTTAGCCCTATATTTTCCGATGGAAAGAAGGAGTGCGTGATATTTCCTATGTCGAGGGTATACCAATTATACTACAAAACAGAATGCGACTTCACTTCTCGCTGATAATGAATGACTCAAATGTTCTCGAGTCATATGGTTCAAGACCCTTATAGCAGTGTCCAGCTGTATATTGGTTCTGAGACACATTCAACAAAATCTTGAACTAGGATTGGCTCCATGTTTGACGCATGGGCTACTATGCAGAAAAAAAGGGGAAACAATGACAACGCTGTCGTTATATCGAGCGACCTGAGTCCAAGGACACATTCCAGCTACAAAATGCTAAAGTCAAAATAGTAACACCGACAGGTCCCCATCTGAGACCGACCTCCCCGTTCCTTGCCAGTTCGGCACCAGATTCTATCTCTGTGAATTGTTAGGGAAGACGGCAACTTGATGACAAACTTCTAGCTAGCATCCAACCATGATGAGTTTCTAGATCCCACCAAGGCCCACTGGTCATTCCGCCGCTTCTCTTTATTGGAGCACTGTCGATCCGGATTGCAGTTCCCGATTCGCCCGGAGATATTGAATGGGGCCCCAGAAAGAGCACAAGAGGCAATTGACGAATATGCCCTGTTTACTTTGCACCAGTTATCACTCTTTGAAAGTCCTTATTCAAATTGATGATTTATTTTCTATATTGAGCCTCAGTGATGCTCTTGACATGTTTCACCAATGCGGCCAACAAATCAGTCCCTCAATTGCAACCGCAGGAAGGAAATGGTTTCTATGTTGTATTGGGCTCGCTCTATCATCGCTAGACAGGCCAGGGACACCACACGGATAGCTCTTGGAAATGCCAAAACGCCCGTGCGGAAGGAGCCACCGATTAACATCCCTTCGTTATGCATCAAAATAAATACTTTCCCAAATTTGAACTCAACCCTACGGACTTGTTGGTCGCCTTGCAGGCTCCATATGCTCTCTATGCCCTCATCACCCATAATTCCACATGATCAGGGCCGTCTGCAGCTTTTCTTCCATGTCATTTCGACTCCAATAGTGATTATCTACGCAGCGCACATAAATAGGCTGGCGGCATAACTGCTGTTCGGAAAATTTGGTGGCCATAATGACATTTTTACTTGCAACGCTTCTGGAAAGCTTTGCCTTTATGATGGGGGAAAAAAAAAAGCAGATATTGAACATGAAAAGGCAGTACATTTGCCAGATACTCCTGGGAAATCCAATATTCCAACACTCCCCTTCAGCCAATGTACATTACATACCAAACAATGATGGCTAGGTATACTCATCGGTACTTCGGTACTTCGGTGGTACGATAGGGTGACATACAAAAAGCTCTACTTATTATGTGATGCCATTCTCTCACATCATCAAATGTCGGAGGTGAATGGAGTGGGTGGCGGAACTTTTACTGCCTATTTTGGTCCAGACAAGAATGCCAGCCTGGCTGAAATTCAGAAATAGTCATGGTCAACTTGAGTATATTTGATGTTAGTAGGAAAGAGTTTACTAAGGCACAACATGTAGTGGCCGGGAATATCCCAGCTCATGATAAAAGATCTGCCCTGCGCCTTGGTTGTTTAAAAAAAGGTAGACTGATGTGGGATGAGTGAAGAGGGAGGGAATAAAGCCCCTGACTAGATACAAGTGAGAGCATCAGCATAACAACTTCTCTTTCAACCGACGTCTCAATTGTCATTAATCCAAGGCAAAAAGTGCATTTCTGGTAGCATCCCTCTGTCTAGGTGCGGTTACATATTATCCTCCCCCAGAGCAGAATGGATAGTCCCTGAGCACCTTCCGTGATAACATGCGCTGTCACTTTGGTCAAAAAAGAACATGTGATTATGAATATGGCTGCTTGCTTACCCTGGGACCTGTCAAGGGAGGATACAAAAGGAGGGAGGAAGACCTTTGACAGACACATACCCTTCCTACAGAGTCTAATCCCTGGGTGCAGTGATGTTGGCCACTTGCTCCGTTATCCTATGGCTCACTTTATATTTGAGTGGAAATCGCCATATACTTGAGGCCAGTTCTTCGGTACTTTTGACCTCTTTTACATCCAGACACTTTTAGTTCTGGGGCCTCTGCATGGGCTATGATTGCTCATTCGATGTCTCCCCAAAGGATTTCCCCACAAACTCCCAGCTGCTTGTCGTACAAGGAAGGGGTTCCAGACACGGAAGGGCGTAGGGTTGCAATGTGACAGGGGACAAGGGTCTCTAGGTCCTCGAACGGCCTGGGACAGAAGGTGATTATTATCATCTAAAAATACCTTGACGTGTCGAGTTTTGCTATCGTTGGACTATCATGGTGTTGAGTATTGAGTAGTCCGATGGGAAATATCTCAATTGCACTGATGTAATCATTGCCGTCGTAGGTGAACTTGTGAGATGAAAAACAGGATAGATGAGGTCTGGTCAACAGCGCAAGTTTTGTATGCATCTAACCCGATGTTGATATCAGCCCCATAACAAACCGATTTTGTTAATTTTGGAGATCATGCGGGGCAGTGTGCTCCTAGTTTGACCCCGCCCGTGTCTAGGCTATCTGAAGCTGCTCGGCCTGGCCACTGCAAATCCTTGTCGGTGATGAGGTCTCTTCCATGTCTCAACATCCTAGTTATGTTTTTCACAAGGTCAACGGCCGAAGTACGGGATATGTACGGAGTACATAGAATGAGAAACTCGAGGAACTCAGTCGCAACTACCTATACCTAGGTACAGAATAACCGACAGCAATGCACAGGTGGCATTTTCCTTAGTCGTACTATTTTTCGGCTTGAAATGGTCGGTCGAACGTTGTGCCCTCTCATAGAAGTCATAGTAGCTCAGCTCTTGAGCCTCGACGTCGAAACTCCGATGGCCAATGGAGTTATCGGCAAATTAGGATCGAATGCTTAAGTTTCCATGTTCATAGATGTATGTACGGAGTACTGTACATGTAAATGATGTTTCTCCGTTGCTTATCCCGGCTCAGCTAGGCCAAATCATCATCGTGGCTTTTCTGGATGTCGTCGACGGGCTCCAGGCGTCGCACGCTGGCTGGGGAACGCCGGACTCTTGTCTTTTTGTGGAACGGTCGTTGGAAACATGCATCAGTTTGCAAGACAACCGCGCAAGAATATTTCATGGAAGAATTGGAGCGAAGACATGGTAGTAGAGTACCTTGTCGACGGGCTTCGTTCAAAAACTCCAAGACGATCCCCACTCAGCCTACGCGTACTCCGTACTCCGTAGTATGGTATGGTATGAGGACCAATAGTTTAGCGCGTGTAATTAGAGTAATAATATATGGGGTAGATACGGGGTAGACAAACCTTATTTATTTTACATAAAATACCGCCGAAGGAGCAGTTCTCGGCCTTGTCTGGTTGCTTGATATTAAATGGAAAGCACTCTCTATGTTTGTACTATCTTTACATAGTTATGTGTCTTTCTGTAAAGAGGTATATGCTCTGTGCTTGCAGAGCGAGTCCAAAGAGTTACCTAAACTATAGAATCATTTAACTAGTTAATCAAGTAGTTAGACCTGTGCTCTGCACCGAATCAACTAGTTAATATGCCCTTTGGTATGTTACGTACCACTTATTACTAGTGGCCATGTAGTTAAGGTTAATATCCATCCGCAAAAGTCTTAATTCGATTAGAATTTTTTTAACGATTCGGTTACCCCGTAAAGCTACCGGGAAACAAGTCATTCATGATGCAAATGACGGGGGTTTTCGCCTAGAGCACTGGGATATTTAAGAGTATTATTATTCTTACCCTTGTTGTTTTCATTTGGAGCTCTGATAGCCCCTCCGCCATCATGGCTGTAGTACATATATACATACATACATACATACATAGTAGATCCAGAGCTGTAACTATGCGTGTGTGCACTTGCTCATGTAGGTTTCCCTGCTACATCTGCGTGCCAGCCTAGCATTGCTACTCCAAATGTCCAACGGTCCAAAAGGTCTCGGTCGGGCAAAGCTGCTCCCGGTGCTTGTCCACGAACTATTTGTTATTTTTGGCTGTTATTGGTTTTTTTTTCGCCGTGTCGATCAGCCACCGGCAGCCTTCCAAACTGGGATGATGGCCACAACAACCTGGAAACCCGCCATATGAAGTTCTCACTTCCGCCTCCTCTTCGTTTTTTTATTATCCTCTCTTATTTCTCTCTTGCTCTCGTTCCTGTTGCTCGTGGAATGAATTGCAGTACGTGAGCTGATATATCAGTGGTACTCGTTTGTGTACTGCGTATTATCATCATGCGGGGTGGCTTGCTCCAGCTCGCCGCCGTTGCTGCTGCTGGCTTGGTTGTTGCGGAGGTAAGTTTTCTCTCATTCAATGGTTATCCTGTTATGAAATTATTAGAAAGGGAAAAAAAAATAACAAGGCCAGGTGGTTTGGCGAAATACAGGGAAGATGGGGTGCTAATCAACGCGGTTGCAAAACCTAGGAACCTCTCGCGTACTCACCTCCATATTACCCATCTCCATGGGCATCTGGAGAAGGAGGCTGGGAAGATGCCGTCCAAAGAGCAAGGGCTTTCGTCTCTCAACTAACCCTACCCGAGAAGGTCAATTTAACAACGGGTGTTGGGTATGTCCCCTGGTTCCATAACATTTACATTTGCATTTGATGTGCGAGCGGCAAATGGTGGATGTTAGGGATATAATATACATGTCATTGTGAAGTCCGCTGGTGCTAATTCGGGGTATTAGATGGATGCAGGAAGACTGTGTAGGTCAGGTCGGGTCAATTCCTCGCATGGGCTTGCATTCCCTCTGCTTGCAAGATGGCCCACTTGGAATTCGATTTGGTGAGCATTCATATATGATGCCAGATCTCATCCACACTTATATCCTCTAACAATTACCAGCCGATTACGTTTCTGCGTTCCCCGCCGGTGTTAACGTCGGTGCCACATTCAGTAAAGAGCTTGCCTATATTCGCGGGAGAGCAATGGGCGAGGAGCACCGAAATAAAGGTGTCGACATTGTATTGGGCCCTGCAATTGGGCCATTGGGAAGATCGCCAGATGGAGGACGGAACTGGGAAGGTTTCGGCCCGGATCCCGTTAATTCAGGGATTCTTGTTGCGCAAACTATCCAGGGAATTCAAAGCGCGGGCGTCGTTGCTTGTGCCAAACATTTTATAGGCAACGAACAGGAACGGTTTCGCCAGGGTCCTGAGGCTCAGGGGTACGGTTTCAATATCTCGGAGAGTTCAAGTTCAAATATTGATGATGTAACAATGCATGAACTCTATCTCTGGTGAGATTCGCATCTGTCCATATTATATACTCTAGCTTACCTGTCTTAGGCCATTTGCGGATGCAGTTCGAGCAGGAGTTGGCTCCGTTATGTGTTCCTATACTCAAATCAATAACAGCTACGGCTGTGGCAACAGTTATACGCAGAACAAGCTTCTCAAGGCTGAACTTGGATTCCAGGGGTTTATTATGAGCGACTGGCAGGCCCAGCACAGTGGCGTTGGTTCTGCTCTGGCTGGCCTGGATATGTCAATGCCTGGCGATACCGTCTTCGGAACAGGCCTTTCCTACTGGGGAACGAACTTGACTATCGCAGTTGCTAATGGAACAATTCCGGAATGGCGAGTTGATGATATGGCGGTTCGAATTATGGCCGCGTATTACAAAGTCGGTCGGGACACGGCTAAAGTGCCTACCAACTTCAATTCCTGGACTCGGGATGAATACGGCTATCAACATGCTCTCGTTCGAGAAGGATATGGAAAAGTCAATGAGAGGGTCAATGTTCGAGCCCGACATGCCAATATCATCAGACAAGTCGGAGCAGCTAGCGTTGTGCTTCTTAAAAACACAGGGAGTCTCCCTCTGACTGGGTTGGAAAAGACTACTGCGGTCATTGGAGAAGATGCTGGGCCTAATCTTTTGGGACCCAATGGTTGTCCTGATCGAGGTTGTGATAAAGGCACATTGGCAATGGGATGGGGTAGCGGGACGGCTGATTTCCCATATCTGGTAACTCCCGCGGAAGCCATTCAGAACGAGATCCTATATAAAGGAGAGGGAGTCGTTCTCTCGATTTTTGATAACTGGGCATCGAGTCAGATCAAATCACTTGCGTCTCAAGCTACGGTATCACTGGTTTTTGTTAATGCTGATTCTGGAGAAGGATACATCTCTGTTGATGGGAATGAAGGAGACCGTAAGAATCTGACCCTTTGGAACGGAGGTGATGAATTGATCGACACAGTGGCATCCAATTGCAACAATACTGTTGTTGTGATACATAGTACCGGCCCCGTCTTAGTGGGCGACTGGAATGAACACCCCAATATTACAGCACTTTTGTGGGCTGGTTTACCTGGTCAAGAAAGCGGTAACTCGATTGCGGATGTTCTTTATGGAAGAGTCAACCCAGGTGCCAAGACCCCCTTCACATGGGGTAAAACAGCAGAGGACTATGGCGCGTCCATTTTAAAGCACCCCAATGCAGGGAACGGCGCACCCCAGGTCGATTTTACCGAAGGGATTTTTATCGACTATCGAGCATTTGACAAAGCGAACATAGACCCCATCTACGAGTTCGGTTTCGGGCTAAGCTACACATCATTTTCATACTCTGGCTTGGCCGTTGAAGTCGTAAAATGTAGACCCTACATCCCCACTGAGGGAAAAACGGAATCAGCTCCCAGTTTTGGTGAATCCCATGGCAACCTGAGTTCATATCTCTTCCCTGAAGGCATGGACCGTGTTACGAGTTATATATATCCCTGGCTGAACACCACTGATCCCGCGAAAGCATCCATGGACCCCGATTACGGGCAACCCACAGAAGACTATGTCCCGCCTGGAGCAACCGATGGTTCACCACAAGAACTCCTCCCTGCTGGCGGTGGCCCCGGCGGAAACCCTGGTCTTTACGATGTATTGTACGAAGTAACGGCGACCATTACCAACACCGGCACTATTCTCGGAGATGAAGTCCCACAATTGGTAAGAAATTACATTCAAATCAAAACGCCCTCATCTTGTTTATCAAAATACCTAACACCAATATGAATTATCTAGTACGTATCCCTAGGCGGCCCCAACGACGCCAAAGTTGTTCTCCGAACTTTTGACCGCTTCACTTTTGCACCCGGCGAAGCCAAAGTCTGGAAGACCGCGTTGACCCGACGGGACTTGTCCAACTGGGACCCTGTCTCACAGAACTGGGTGATTACCAAACATCCGAAGACCGTATACGTGGGCAGCTCATCCCGAAATCTACCACTATCCGCCCCTCTGTCGTCCAATGACTGTTGAATACCGTGTTTTTCTTCTCTTTCCCTTTGTGGGAGTGTGGCGGCCATATGAGGGCGCCCAACTAGGGTTAGGTTCAATCGTCTGATTCCTCTTGATTTTACATACGGCACCTTTCTTTGTGGAAAACTCTATAGTTCGCGATTGCTCGCGCCTAGCATTTTTTAATGTTTTATTATTAATGGACTCGTATAATGCCAAATCCTATTAATTACTGCATTTTCTACCGGACAGTATAATTTTCTGTGCCCAATGAATATCGAGTAAAGTAACTTACTCAATTGGGATATTTGCTCATGCGTAACTAATCCAACAATGTGTGTATGTACTGTACACATACCTGAAGCGGACACAGGTGTTAGGACTTGGCTACATGGATATCGGGGTGGCAGCAGCTTCATATGAGGATGTAATATTACTGATTCTTGAAGAAGAGAACTAGATAGTAGAGAAGCAGAGAATGAGTATAAGACACTGCGGCTTCTGTGGGTCACATGATGTGTATGTAAGCATGCCCTAAGTCCTAGACCTTACACTCTGCCTTCTCACCTCCCTCATCCCTCCCCCAGAGTGGCGAGGTTATTATATTATACATGTGATGTAGATAGTAAGACATACAGATAATTAGACAATTAGAGTATACAGTGATAAAAAAAAAAGAAAAGCTTAGAGAGTAGAATCAGTGAGATACACTCTACTCTGTTCTGAGATTCTAGCAGAATGCACTCTGTTCTAGAGTTTATATAAAGTAGTAGAAGCTCTCAGCTCTACTTTTGAAACTTGTAGTGAGACACACCCTGTTCTACTTCTTAGTAGAACATGCTCTGCTCTATAAGAAATGAAGAGACTTATTGTAGATTATTCTTCTGATAGTGATCAATATTATAATACTGTGTCTGAAAAGAGTCAAGCATGCTAGCATGTGCAGAGTCTGCTTGTAAGATATCTGATACTGAGTTTATTACTGATAATTATTGAGGCCTCATTGAGTAGCAGACATAGAAGACATCAAGATGTGACTAGACTGACCGCCGGGATCATGAATTTCACATTTGATCTCATTTGATCTGGTCCCATACATTTCTTGGCGTGAATCCCGCTGGGACTGGCTATCAAAAAAACAGGTAAAGTGACTATATATCAGATCTTAAAATGGAACCATGACTTGAAAAAAATGAGAAAGTGATCTCATTTGGTCTCATTTAGTCCCATTCTTGGCATAAAGTTACTATTTTTAGACATTTTAAGGTTTTTTTTAGACTATTTTTAATTTTTTAAAAAGTAACACTTTTTGATAACACTTAAATAAGATTTAAAGTCATTTAAAGCAATAAAAATAATTTAAATTGAGAAGTGGAAATCATGGTCTCATTTGGAAAATGTGACAAGAGTAGATAGTAAGTCTCACTGAGACAGTATGGGACTACTATCTAATGTTAAAACTGTGTAATGGGATCAGTCGAATTGGTAATGAAACTATCAAAAAATCTGGTCCTGGTCTCAGACACGGTCACACGGTCAGTCTAGATGTGACTGAGTATTAGAGAGATAGTCATAATCTACTCATTTATCAAATTGAGGCCTGTGACTCACTCAATATACTAGATATTTAATTCAGTTCTCTCAGATGAGCTTGATATTGAGTATCTCTTAAATGTTATCATCATTATTCAGATCAGAATGTAGAGCCTCTGAAAAGATATGCTGATTGTTAAGAGTGAATAAGCAGTGTGATTCTAGAAGTGAGACATAGAATACATTATATATATAATAGAAAGATGACAGATTGAGTTGATATGTCTGTGTACTGACACAGGTGTACACAGTGAAGAGTTCAAGAAACTTGTAATCTAGCTTATAATTGAGATGATGTATTCTTATATTCTTTGTATTCAGAAAAACAAGATCATCTATCTGAAACTCACAGAGCTTGTCACAGGCATAATACTATATGAGATTCTGAGAGTGAAGAAGATAATTATAAGTCTCTCACTGAGCATCTTTGATGAGAACTGCACAGTGTTCTGCAATGATATCATCTGATTCTGGAAGAGAGAAGTTAGACATGATAAGAGACATGAGATGATATTCTAGATTCATGAAGAATGAGATGAGATTATGAGCAGAATGTACTGAATTACTATAAATAAATTCAGCTAAGATAAGAAGATCTACTCAGTCATTCTGTAAGTAGATGATGTATAGATGTAGATATACTTTCAGTTCACAGTTTTATCTTTCTGTCTGATTATCAGTCTGTGCATGATAGACAGTAGAGAGATAATGATTAGTACTAAGAAGATTGACAAGAGAGTATCAGAATTCTGAGATGAAAAGATAATCACAGTCTGAGATCAAGACTGCTGACATTTCATAAAGATGAATGATGTTATTGATAAATAACTGCATGAATATCTTCAGAAGAAGGTTCACTGTGATGAGAATGTAATGAGAGCATTTAAATCTTTTGCATATAATCACCAGAACTGTGTCAAATGTGATGTCTGTGACTGAGCAGGTGAACTTGAGTAGGTCTACTACAAAGTCAAGAGTGATTGTATGCTAATTAATATCTGAGATGAGAATGAGTGTGAGCTCTTTATATGCTTGATAAGTGATAGGCTTGAATCACCTGCATGCTTTGCAGCTGTGTACATAGTCATTCATATCATGCTGCATGATAGGCTATCAGAATCAACAGTTTATCAATATATAGATTCAGTGAGATCTGAAGTGTTCTGTAGTGAGAGAGTTATAAAAGTTCTACAGAATGAGAACTTGAGTGAGTGTGTGATCTGAGACAAAGATTCTATCTTTGTAAAAGAGTAGATCATTCTCTATGACTCAGTTTTCCAGGTTATTATAATCTGTTAAAGGTATGAGTAATTTGAGATTTTCAGAGAGGTTCTCACAGATCACCTGCAGCAGCAGCTCTGTGATGTGACCTTCAGTCTGAGTGTGAGTAGAAATAACTGAGATCAGCTCTATTATTTGTGCTACTGCAAGGGTGCTGAGACAGGCATTGCAGAGATGATCACAGAATTCATTAAGAAATTTATAAAATATGTTGATGAGTTCTGTAAGATTATCTGAGTGTAATCAGTAGTCTGAGTGCTGACTGAGTGCATCTGCTGAATTACTGTGACCTTTCTTATACTTTATACTGATATCAAGCTCACTTAGGTGTTGAGCTCATCTTACTTGACAGTGACTCAGAATCTTGATTATGAGAAAGAGCAGAAGATTGTTATAATTACTGTATATAACTGTATTATAATGATTACTTCTGATGAAATGACTTCAATACTTGATTAACTCTATTATTGCTAATATTTCTTAATTATAGATTCTATAGTTATACTCAGTATCTATCATTTTCTGACTATAGAATACAACTGAGTGTAAGTGATTATCAGAATCTTTCTGTATAAGGATTTCACTTATGATATATTCACTGACATTACAGAAAATAACTATATCAAGCTTATCTGAGTAGAATATGAGTAGAGAGACTTTGATGAAGATCTCTTTCAGTAAGAGAAAGTTAAAGTTCTCAGACTCTGTTCATTGAAAGATTTTATTAGTCTTGAAAAGACTAGTCATTGACAGAGCTATCTTGCTGTAGTGATGTATGAAGTAATGATAGAAGTTGTAAAAGCTCAGAAATTTATAAACATCTCTGATTAACTTAAGAGTGAATCATACTACTATTGTCTCAATGCATTTGAGATTCATGCAAGTGTCATGACATTCAATTATATAGCTGACAAAGTCTATTTCTTCTTGAAGAAAATGATATTTGAAGAGATTGTATATTAGACACACTTCTCTGAATTTTTATAGTATCTATTTAACATGTTGTCAATGAGCATCTGAGTTATAATCTTTGATATATATTACAACATCATCTATGTAGACTACTGTAAAATTATTAATGTATAGAAGCAGTGCTGTCTGAATGTATTACTGAAAGTGACTGAGTGAATTACAGAGATCAAAGAGTACTACCAGGTATTTGTAGTTGCTGTACTGTGTCTTAAAGACTGTAAGATGTTCATATCTCTCTGCAATTCACAGGAGATAAAATGCATGAACTAGGTCTAGTTTTGTAACTCAGTGTATTTCAGTGAAGTATTCAAGAAGCTCTGATATAAGAGATATTATATATTGATTTTTAACTGTGATAGCATTTAAATTTCAGTAATCTATATAAAATTGTTTGATTTCATCTTTCTTCTGTGCAAAGAGCACTGAGAAGACATATACTGACTTACTTAAGTGTATGAAATCATGCTCAAGGTTTTCTTCAATATATTTTTTTAGAAGTTGTAGTTCTGATTAACTCATATTATAGAGTGAGCTCTTCTTCAGAGACTTATCATCTATAAGAGTAATCTTCATATTCATCTCTGAGTATGAGACTAGAGTGTTGACTGTGAATAAGTGAAAGATATTCTTGAAGTTATCTAGCTCTGAAAATAGATGTATAATAGAAGTATTCTGACTAGTTTATAATTATACAATAACAGAAATAATGTTATTAGTAAGAATGAGGTTCTTTGACTCTTATAAGAGATAATCACTGTCAAGCTGTCTCATGTGAAATCTGTTGAAGAGATAATCAGAATCTCAGTGTATATCTGAATTAGTATATTACAGTCAGAGCATTCTCAGTATCAGAGATCATGACATTAACATTGACATGAAGTAGTATTTCATTGATTAATCATCAGAGTTTAATAAGATTATCTTGTAGATATAGAGATAAGTTGAATATTTTCAGTCTTAGAGATCTTTTAAGAGAATATATAATATGAAGACTTTTGTAACATTCAGAGCTTCAGCAACTGTGAGAGTGATAATATTGAACTCTGCTTCTGAGTCTATCATAGCTGAGAGAATGAGTATGTCAGTGTCTTGAAGAAGTCAGGTAATATTGTTCAGAGCAGATGTGATTTGTGATATAGAGATATCATATTATATGACCTGTATAGAGAGAGTGTAACTGTCAATGAACTGTGTAAATAAGTCAATTAAGAGCATTTATTTGCACATGATCATCTCTAGTAACATGCTAATTCATTTTTTGATTTTGAAGAGACTGAGCAGATGCAGAGTAAGACAGTGTATAAGAGTATTTTTTCATCATCAGAGACTGTATTAAGCAGTGAAGTGCTCTGATGTACAGATATTATAACTATCAACATCATGCAGATATAGCAGTTATTAGCTCAGTGTTTCATGTAGTTACATTAGATACAGAAGCCTTCACACTGACACTTTCAGTATTCAGTGTCTGTAATATCTGAGTTCTTATTAGTGCTGCAGAGAGATCTGTCAGAGAAGTATAAATATACTCAGTCAGCTGCACTCTCACAGTTGTGTATGTCTCATATATCATATATTAAATTGAATCTGACTTGTTTATTATTGTAGTTATTATTGAGAATCATTTATTTGAATATGATAATGTAACTTTCAGCTGTGATAACAGCTTTTTTCTAATCAGTGAAAGTGACAGATCAGATATTAAAATAAGCTTGATTAATCTATTGTAGAATTGATGTGATCAACTTGATACAGAATATAAAGCAGATAACTGAGTCATTTTAGTGAAGATCTGCTATCAATGTCTCAAAGTCAGCAATGAAATCAATTATATATTGATTATACTGTATTTATAGAGAATTCATGTGTAATTCTGTAGTGAGAGCTGCATTGATTTCATAGTAATTATTACACAGTCAGACTTTGAGAATTTCTCAGATAATAATATGCATATCATTGTCAATTTGCATGTGTTGAATACATTGACAGATTTTGAAAGCTAAGTAGCTGATTATAAAGACTATTTTAGAGATATCTGCAGTGATGAGATATTCTCTGATATTATCATTCATATCAAGTAGTTAAAAGCATATGTCTGTAGATTCATCAAACATGTCAGATTCTCACAATTTAATCTTGATTAAATGAGATTGAGAGTTTAACAGAGAGAATCTGCTAGCAGAGTGTTCATTCAGAGCATCTAGTTATTGAATAAGACAGGTGTTTTCTTCTGCCATTACATGATTTTACTCAGCCAGTTGATTGACTTGGTCAATGAGGCTTTACATTTCATGAGTGAGTGTCATGATAATTGTTAAGAGTGAAAATTTTCATGATTTTATAGCTGCAAGGCTGTGACTGATATTGTAGAGAAGAAGAATCAGTATATTAAAACTTGGCTACATGAATATTGAGGTGACAGCAGCTTCATATGAGGATGTAATATTACTGATTCTTGAAGAAGAGAACTAGATAGTAGAGAAGCAGAGAATGAGTATAAGATGCTGCAGCTTCTGTGGGTCACATGATGTGTATGTAAGCATGCCCTAAGCCCTAGACCTTACAACAGGGTCCTAAATTCTGAGTTTGAAAAATATGAATCTTTTTCATTCAGAGTAAAAAAATCTCTTTATTTGCATCAGCTCTGCGACGGCTAGGACCTTGTGGATGAACGAGCATAGATCGGGAGCGCGGCGCGCGAGAGATAGAAAAATTCTTTATTTTTTTTTTTATTTATTTATTTATTTTTTTTTTTTTTTAGATACTATACTGCTTTTAGTAGATTATATCGGCTATCGGCACTAGGGAAACAAGGACATGCATGGATGTCCATGTATAGTTACTATGCCCGTTCCATGAGTTTTCCGCGATTGCGCGGAATTAATGAATGCGGGGGCATGCTTGCGGGATACGATATGCCAACTTGCATGTATGTACGGAGTACTATTTGTTGTAGTGGCATGCTTGTGTGAGGCATATGAGACAATTTACAGTAATGCATGGTTAATGACGGGTGCTAAACTAGATAGAGTTCGTGGCTTTTGGAAAGGCAATCTTCGGTGATCTATCGAACCTATGAGGAGAGCCGAACTTGTCCCCGAGAAAATCTGATGGCTTTCTGCGGCGTATAGGTATCGATGCATATCGACACATGTGGAGGGAACAGTATATCTGGTTTACGCATTTCTATATGTTCTCATTTTCACTGTAATCCGGATATTTCGCGGCCAGGTATTTGACAATTGCTCTAGGGTAAAGATTGCGGGGCTGTGGGGGTCCCTTGTCAAGCAGCGAGCAACCTCCCTCTTTGGGAAGTCACACACCTAAAATTTAAGCTTGTTTAAACAATGGCTTCTAACTAAATTAGCTCTAGCGGGGCTGCAACGAACCTAACCAACCCAAACAAACATCAAGAATGTCACCGCGCACCATTGCAAAAACAAAAGCTACTTGTCACACTTGTTCAGGCACGACGTCTGCTCTCCATGTTGGTCAACCTCGCGGAGGTTGATGATCAAAACTGGTCACACACCATTCAAAACTCAGTACGCAACAGTCTACTATCTACATTCCAGGGTCTTCTGGAGCAGGTGGCCAGGAAGCTGCGCCAGGCTACCTTCAGTTCCAACCTTGCAATTGTCCTTGATTGACTCCGATGGCCAGACTGGCCTTCAAGAATTGATTGCTTCACTTGAACAGCTGAATTCACATTTCCTTCTGGCTATTGCAAACTACCATGTACGGTTTTCCATGTCAATTCAATACGAGATTGTCAAGATGCATAACCAAGTGATTGGAACTACTATTGACATTCGGAGATGAGCAATGGTCTCTCTTTCCAGAGAACAAGAGCTTATCATGAACTCTTTAGTTTTGAGAGGCCTGTGCGGTGAGTTGGATGGAGACTAATGTAGGAGATGAAGGCCAGTACTGAGTAGTGTTTTTTACAACATGATATTTTCAAGCAACAGCGCAAGGCAAGTCCTACACCAGGCATCCCATTGCTCACAGGAGTTCTGGAGTTAGGCAAATCAACAATATGCCAGATCGCTCGATTCTTTCTCAAAGCTTGGCATCAGGTGGAAATCGATGTCTGTGTCTCCTTTTTCCCTTTAGTTTCTTGAAAAAGAGCGAATGTAAGCGAGTCAGTTGTGCTGTCAAACTTTGTGCAGCAGATAGTGTTGGAGCGCCCATATCTCATTGAGCACATTTCCGCTCTGGGAGTTACAGACAGCCCTCTATCCTTGGATGAGAGCACTCATTTGATCTGTCGAGCGCGTCGTGACCTCAAACGGTTCTACCTTATACTGGATGGACCAGATGAATGTGAAGAGACGAGTGTAGCTGTGATCAAGAAACTACTTGCAATTGAGCCACCTCTGACAATCCTTGTTTCAAGCCGGCCAACAGCGACCGTCTTGGCTACTCTAAAGGACTGTGCCACTGTCTGCATGCCGCAACCAAGGTCGTTTAATGACTTCCTTGCCTATGCGACGATAATGCTCAACGAATATCCTGTCATTGCAGAGCATCTCGATCATAATTCTGAAAACATTGCCAATGCGGCCAAACGTATTGTGGAACTGAGTCATGGGCTGTTCGTGCTTTCTAAAGTATCCTCTAATACTATCATCAATATTCCCTGGTCTCCATGCGAGCACTACTGAATATTCTGAAGGCTAATTCTTTATCGTTACATGTTTATAGAGGACCAGATAGAATTCCTAGCCCAAGCAGAGACCAGACCCATGTTTGGACGCTTTCTGTACAAAGATTTGTTGACCATCTTTGAAACGTATGCGTTGGTGCTTGAAACGTCGTTAATCAGCAAGCGGAACTTGCAGCATTAGGCAAGAAGACGTTGAAAATAATAATGGAGGCTGCATGTCCGGTGAGCATAAGCCAGTTAGTGAGTGCGTTGGCACCGGAATTGGCTGGTGTAGCATCCATGCGGTATCTTAACAGGGACCTTACAGAAGAAGAGATAGTTGAAGCATGTCAGTCAAGTTGCAAAAACTTGGTTGTCTTCGTTGGTGAGCCTGACACAGCTGAGGCACAATTACGGCCTGTCCATTTCAACGTTCAGGAATTTTTCGAGATGAATGGACTTCCTGAATGGTGTGGTTGTTTAGCAGACCTGCTGCCTTTCTCGCTGCTAGTACATGTACATACATATGTAATGTACATTGCACTGGCCGTCCGAAATATAGTTATCAGCTACAGCAGTTTAAGTGTTACTATAGTTGTTAGGATACAGGATCTGGTTGTCCAATAGAATCTAGGGCTTAGGGCTAGGGTTGCGGAAAGAGCGCGCGGACTATATATAGAGTCATCTTTCCCTGGACCCCCTTTCTCTCACCACTGTAGTATTTCATTGAAATAGTATGTGTGCCTACAAATACATATGTCATTAGCAGGCTTGTGGATTGAATTTCCAATTGGGTTGCCAAACATGTTTTGTTCCAGAGTTCAATGTTGTCAAGCAAGCCCTGCCAGCCTGTGTAACCAAACCGGGAAGCTGCAATCGCATCCAGCCTACTAGGCAGTTCGGGGCCATGCAGCCGGCCACCTGGGCATACATACATGGATGTACTGTAGATGTACGCTGATAATCGACTTTGCAATCTCCAGAAGCATGAATAATGTTGAGTCTATGAGATTGGAATGCTTGTGCATGTTGCGCGTCTTGACAGAGAAAAGGAGGGCTTATGGGGAATGGGAGTGGGAGGAAACAATGAGTGGATGAATGGTGCATTCAAACTGGACTGTCAATCCCAAGAATTTTTTTTTTTCCTTTCCAGCCAGTGTACCAGGAGAGCATGGAGAAGAAGCAGCGCAGGTAGAGAGGTATTGTCAGAACTGTCTGGGTACAAAGTTTTGTGCTGGAATGACTGACCCGACAACAGTGTGGACACTGCTAATGTGCCGCTCCAAGTCGTGGCCTTTAGGCCCGTTCCTGAATGTCCCTCCAATGCTTGACTTCGTCCCTGAGTTTGCCTGAGACATAATCTTCCTTACCTTGCTATATTCTTGGCATTGTCTTTGTTTTGATCTAAATTGTGAGGTCTTGCACGAGTTGCGCTTTTATGAGTTCCCTCCATGGCCATCTTTGCATGTGCGTCAAAAGATGCGACTCCCACAGCTTGTCCACGCAATAGGAAGAAGACGGAATGTAGATAAGCCAATAGAGAGGGTACTGATGATTTGCTTCTGTGCTGGACGATTTTCTTCATGAAGAGAATTCCCTGTTCCTAGGCTAATTATTGAGATTAGGCATATTTTATAGAAAAGATGAGTGGTATATAGATACAGGCATAGCACAGTTCTCATTGATTTTCAATTTTAGTAAAGGAAAGAGATATTGTCAACTCTACAAGAGCAAAAGAGAGGCAAGACTCCAGCATTGACGTGCACATGGATTTATGTATCCTCTGCATTCATGTCATCTCCGGCATGAGGGCCTCAAAAATAACCATATATAAGTATTAATAATTCCCCTCTCACCCCTAGATCTGCTGTTTTGTGGTTGAAATATAAATTCTAGCACAGACGGCCCAAATTTTTGTAGAGCTAGTTTAGTAGTAGTATCACAGATATATCCATAGAACATTCAATTATCCCTGCATGGTTTCGAATGCGCTCCCAGCACGCTTCATATCCTGGTCGACGCAGATCCTCTAACGGTAGTTCAACCTCCAAGGAACCCCTGTTTGGCGGATAGTCCGTCCCGTGTCAGGGCCGGGGTGTGAGGGGAGCAAAAAATCGTGGGTGGGTTCCAGATCCAGAACATTCAGCCCCATGCACACGACGCCTCATTTCATAATCTCAACCTTCCAAGCTTCCTTCGGGATCCCACGCAGGGAAAGGAAAAAAGGAGCATACCAATACAATACCTCAGAAAGGAGACGACCAGTGAACTACCTAGTGCTTAGCTAAAACCCAGTCGAAAGCTGCCGGCTAAACACAAGTGGTGACCAGTGACTAGAGCGAGCTGCAACGCTTAACGCAGGTTAGCCCCATTTCAGCTCAGTAAACTTCACCTATTCGCTTGCGAAGGCAGAAAATAATAAAAGCAAAAATCAGACTCAGCATTCCCGCAGCAGATAGCAAGCTATTATTATCATTTTGCTGGCCCTCTCAGCCCGAGCTCTTCTGGGTCGTTGCGGTGTTGTGACGGTGTTGAGACAGGGCTGATCATGCCAAGCCGCCAACTGCCCCCAGAAACCAAGCAAACCAAGCAAACCAAGCAATCCCTAGTTTGTCACCGCTAACTAACTAACAGAATGCGGGCTTTCCTCCCCGGGGCTGGCCGAACCCGCGATCTTGATGATTCCACTCCCGCCATACTACTCCGTATACTCTCCTCGTCCTCCGCCTTCCTCTGCCGCTTCTTCTTCCATTCACCCCCTGTCTAATCTTTCTCTCTCGCCGCTTTAGAACCGGCTTCTCACCTTCCCTCTGCCTACGATCTTCCCTACTCGAACGACTCGGGCTGGCACCTGTGCCCGTCCTCCCACCTCAACGGGATCGGCCCCGAGTCTCACTCCGGTCTGAGCAACACGGCACCCTTCGAGTCCCTAGACGAACATATACTGGCCGATGCTTTTGATCCTGCTGGCAAAACGTTGACCCTGTCTATATCCGCAAACCAACATTATACGCATGACCGTGGTTCCGGAATGGAGGACGAACGGGGCTCCACGAGCCCCAGAAGCTCTAGAGCCCAGGTGGTCCAGTTGCAAGAAGATGCGACTGGACAGAAACAGAACCTCAACCAAGCTCCCATGAATACCAACGATCTGAATGCCAAACGTGAAGGCTCTGTATCGGCCCGGGAACATGGAGACACAGAGAACCCTCGGCCATGGAGCGAACTAAAAACCAAGGCAGGGAAGGAGCGTAAGAGACTCCCACTTGCCTGCATCGCCTGTCGAAGGAAGAAAATTCGCTGTTCGGGAGAGAAACCTGCCTGCAAACACTGTTTCCGTTCTAGAATCCCTTGTGTATACAAAGTCACGACGCGTAAAGCCGCCCCTCGCACGGATTACATGGCCATGTTGGATAAACGGTTGAAGAGAATGGAAGAAAGAGTTATCAAAATCATACCCAAGGATGAGCCCCGAGATATGGCCGCGATTGGGCGATCGGTCGTCAAGCCCCCTACTTCGGGTCAAATTCCTCGTGGATACAGACCAGTTCACAAGAAGAGATCTGCTGATGAGGCTTTCCGCGCTGAGCTTAATGAATGGACGCAACCAAACAAAGGCACCGGTCCCGATGGCTTTCCGATTTGCTGGCAGTCACAAATTATGGATGAGAATAAGCTTTTCAACGAAGGCGCGGAGTTTCTTCCCTCAATCGAGCTCCAGGAGCATCTTGCGGAAGTCTTCTTCGACTGTGTGTATGGGCAGTCTTATCTATTGCTACATAAACCGAGCTTTATGCGCAAGTTTAAAACAGGAACTGTTCCGCCTGTTCTGATGCTGGCCATCTGCGCTGTCTCTGCTCGCTTTTCAACACATCCACTTGTCTGTACGGAGCCGGCTTTTTTGCGCGGAGAGAACTGGGCAAACCCCGCCGCAGCGATTGCGCTCAGCAGACATGATGAACCAAACATTACTATACTCACCGTTTTTCTCATCTTGGGGCTCCATGAATTTGGCACCTGCCATGGTGGGCGGAGTTGGTCGTTCGGAGGTCAAGCGTTGAGAATGGCTTATGCTCTTCAGCTTCATCGCGAACTCGATCATGATCCTCAGCGCAGCAGCAAAGCGTCCGAACTTAGTTTTACCGATCGCGAAATCCGACGACGAACGATGTGGGCGTGTATATTGATGGATCGGTATAATTCTTCTGGCAGCCAGAGGCCACCTATTGGTAACGAGAAGTACTTACAAATTCAACTCCCTATCAAGGAGTCCCATTTCCAAATGGAGATTCCTGGACCCACGGAGGATCTGGAAGGAAGGGTTCTTAACCCGGTCCCCGAAGGTGTGGGCCAGCTGTCTAATCCCAAAGACAATATGGGTGTATCTGCATATACAATTCGAGCCTTGATGCTTTGGGGACGGGCGGTGGATTACTTTAACCTTGGGGGTAGAAACAAGGATCCTCACCCGCTCTGGTCACCAAAATCAGGCTATGCACAATTGAAGAAACAACTAGATGACTTCTCAGCTTCGCTTCCTAATTGTTTAGCATTCAATCTCGAAAACCTGCGCAACCATGGGGCAGGGAAAATCGCAAACCAACTCCTCTTCCTACACATAGTTACTCACCAAAATATTCTCTTCTTAAATCGGTTTGCCATTCCCCTTTCTCCTGGAGGGAAACCCCCGAAAGATATACCTCGAGAATTTCTTAGTGATGCTGGCCGTGCCGCTGTCGAAGCCGCAAGCCACATTTCTATGTTAATAAATCAGGCACCGGGATATAATCTGACTGTTCCTTTCGCTGGCTACTCTGCATATGCAGCCAGCTCAGTGCACATCTGGGGGATATTTTCGAAGAACGCGAGACTTGAAGCAACGTCGAAAGAAAACCTTCGTCATACCTACAGATACCTAAACAAGATGAAGCGGTATTGGGGTATGTTCCATTATATGGTTGAGAGCACCAAGGATCGATACCGCCAGTTTGCGGATGCTGCAATCAAAGGAGTGCAGTTCAGCTCGTCGGAAGAAGATGCTCCACTATTCCAGTACGGCGACTGGTTCGACAAGTATCCCCATGGCGTCTCGCAACTGCATTATGAGGACCCGCCTTCTCGTCCCCAGCAGGAGCCTGGAGGAGATGCTGTGATGGCACAGCAATCTGACCTTCAAAGCGTGGAAGAGTTCTTTGCAAGCCTTTCGCCGCCGTCACATTCAGATAACCCGCGCAAGGAACCAAAGCGACGAGCAGGCTCAATCACGGAGCCACGACAACCACTTTTGAACTCCCTAAATCCTAATAATCGATACATGTCACCTCAACAACAGCCACACCCGTCATCACAACCGCCATCACAACCGCCATCACAACCGCCATCGGAACCGCCACCACAACCTCCAGCTCAGCCTCAACCCCAGTCCCAACAGGTGCTTCAACATCCCATAATGGATGTACCCATAAACCCCACGCGCCCCCCAGACTTCCACCTTAATAGCCAAGCCATGTTTCCACAAGCCCAAACGCCCAATTTTTCCCCGTCAACCCACCTCTCCATCAACCCGGACCAACTACCACTGCTCGATCGCCAGCTCGTTTACGGCGCATATACCGGTCATGATCCGACTGTAGTCCCATCAACATCCACATCGACATCCAATCCATTAGCCGTAAACCATCCAGTAAGAATGAACCCAGCCCCAGGAGTGTCCATGCAACAAGGACTCAATGCGCCCTCCACCGCGACATGGAACTCTCAATTTGACGTCTCAGGCAACCCTGCAGCCTGGTCAAGCGAATTCGTACATCCAGGCGCTTGGTTTTTGCCCTTCAACCTGAACCCCATCGGCCAAGGCCTAGCAGACATGAATGCTGCGCCAGCTACAAGTGGGGCACCAGGCCTTGGAACACCGCCCTTGGTGAATACTCTGGGTACATACTCAGCGCCCAATGCAATGATGGGTGCATACGATCTTGGCCTCTGAAACTGCGGATAAAAGAAATCAGGAACACGGAAAATGTAACAGCGCAATTTCCGTGTACTGCTTTCCTTTTTTCTTCCTTTTTACTCTTTCTCCACTGAACTAGGTTTGAAGCGTGTCAAGAGTTTCGCTGCGGGAGAAAAATAAAATGTACAGCTCCCATTTCGCCCCACATTATTACATTTTTGAATATTGTTCAAAATTCTTCTACATTCGTTCTTCTCTCTGTACAAACCCATTCATCTCTGACAAATTTCCCCAAATTTTTGGTACATATACATACATTTATCACGACCTCAGCGCCCTTAGCTGCGTGCTGTCTGTCCCGCAACGGACACAAATTCTGTCATATAAAGCTAACATATTTTATCGATTTCGAATCGTATATATATAAGTTAGACACATATTGTACTGTACGCCTGTCCCTTAGCGTCTGCGCCTATGTACAGTATCACGCTATGATTAGTATCTTTTTTTTTCTAATTGAATGCGCTGGATGCACCATTGGCTTGCTTATGTAGATGCCAGATTTCTGGCTAGGATTTTCATTGGCGGATTGACTGGAAATACCCCATGATCTTGCCATAGATGCAAATGGAAAAGATGTGAAAAACCGTCTAATTCCGAGTCTGTCTTTCATGCTCTCTATACAAAACGTAGCTTACAATTTTATATTCAAATATGTACTCCACCATGCCTGTCTTGGATTTGTCATTCCCCGCAGGAACAAAGTAGCACACCCGCCCGCCAGCATAGCGAAGCAAAGCAGGGCAAAGCAAGGAAAGGATCGCCCGATCTAGGAGGGAAAATAAACCACAGCATCAAAAAGATAAAAGAAAAACCTAAAATCAAAAGTAGCCCATGCGGAATCAAACCAAGCAAGATATGAAAGCCCATCATAAACACATGCCAACATAAAAAATAAAAATAAAACGAAAAATAAAAAGATAGGGTAGGATGCATAGATACAACGTAAAAGAAAAAATCAACAAATCAAACGCCATGAGATTCTAAGAATTAATCATCCCACTCCTCATCCAGCTGATCAATCAACCTATTTTCCTCCTCCACATCTGCCCTCCTGCCCCTCCCACCGCCATTAGTACCACCACCACCACCACGACCACCACTACCATCACGCCAGCCCCCGATGGCACCAACAAGCCCGCCGCCGCGTCTGTCGTTGTTGTTGACGCTGTGGTTGCCGTTGGAGAAACGCGAGTAGCCCGTTGGGGATTTGAAATTGCTGGAGCGGAAGCAGCGGGAGAGAGAGGTGAAGAGGATTATGAAGAGGTCCTTTTTTCGAGTTGTATGTCGTCGTGTTAGTAAAACTATTTAATTTATTTGTGTTTCGAGATGGGTTTGTATGGGGGTTTAGGAACGGCGGTGGCAGGATGGGGAAGTATATGTGGGGAAGGGGCCTAGGGCGATGGAGAAATAGAAAGGGGGCTGGGGGCTTTAGGGTTAGGTGGGAATAGGAATAGGAACAGGCACCAAAAGGAGCCGGGGAGGGATGGCGAGAACATTGCAAAGTGAGAAACCGGGAGATCCGAGATCATAACTATACAAAAAACTCGAAACAGTGAGAAAAAGGAGGTGTAGGCTGTCCCGTAAGGGGTAATTTTAAAAGTTCAAAAGGAGACAGTTGGCTAGTAAGGACGATGGGGACAGCGGAGATCATCCAGTACGGTCCTTACTGCCCTTTAATCGTAGGCTGAGTTAAAAGTAGTGCTGATCGATAAAACGATGTCACAGGAAAATAGATACAATAATAGGAATTCCAGTGTGAAGCGAATTGTTATCCAAGAAAAATGAAACAGAACGGGGGAAACAAGCCGAGAAGAGAACGAAAATTAACCTATTTGAGTCTGGTGGTATGTGGATAATCCATTTCTCACACGCCATGATCGATCCGGGAGGGCATAGGGGAGGAATGAAGAGCGCAAGAAACAAAAATCAATCAAGACGTGATGAAACAAGCAAAGAAACATTTCCCCGTTTGCCGAGTGGTGAATATGCTGTTGCCATGCCACTGCGTGTGTGGGTTCCGGAGAATGATAGCTTCGACGGTATTATAGATAACAAACTTACCCGTACGAATGAACCGGCACCGGCCCACATGCTATAGTTCGGGCACTGTCTCCACCCACGCTGGTGCATGACTGTTCGCTGATACGCGCATCCACCAAGTATATACACAGCTATGGCTATCAGTGCACTGGATAACAGAAGCAAGAAAGCGTTAGTATTGATTTTTTTTCTACCACTCCCACATAGCTTTCGTTTCGGTTCAAGGGGGTATATGTAGACATACATCACGCCAAAGACACCGGCCGGGCCCAGTCCACCTTCGGTGCGCGCAACGCCGCCGCATGCAGCAGCGCTCCGCACCTCAAAGAAATAGGTGCAGGAATCGAGAGTTCCTACAAACGTCACGCTTGCCGCTGGGGATACCAGATCCCGATCGCATAGGAAGGACATGAGAGTAGATTTCCGACGGGATGAATGGACAGGCTCATGGCCGGAATTTCCGTCCTTCTTCCCGTCATCTTTGTCCCTATCACCCGTCTCCCTATCCCCGCCCTTATCCTTTTCCTTATCATCTTTTTCCTTGTCATATTGGCCATGTTCCTTATCCTTCTTGGGAGTGCCATCGTCTATGATCTCGAATCTGCTAACATTCGATGATGTCGGTCCAGGACAAGGGGAGCCGTCGGTATAGTTGAGGACCAGCCTCCGTCCGCGGAAAACGAGTTCAGATGCTTGATGCCTACAGAATGAATATATATATCCTTTAGTATGTCATGTTTGGCATTCGTTTCCCGTTCGTCCCGAATCCCCAGTTTGCCACCAATGCCCACGTACCCAATGGAATATGTCTTCCCATCTAATGTATAGAACGCGCTGACATTCGCCCATTTCGAATCCTCGACTCCCACCACATCACTCAAATTTTCGATAACAGGAGCGCAGATGTTCAATGAGAAGTTTGCAGGGTAATCGTATCCTCTAGCATGCCAACTCTCTTCCCTGTCTTTATGGCGAACCTTCTTTCCATCTTTAATTTCTGGCGGCGACAGTGCTATAGTATTAAGATCAAAATAGGCTCCCGTAGTTGGCGAGGAGATTGTACATGGTTTGGGTCCATTGTGTACGTGTTCGGCTCCGGATGTCGAGGAGCATAGGAAGAGTAACTGGACGGCAGCGGTTAGGAAAAAGGATCTAACGGGACGCATAGCGGCGGTGCTTTAATACGGTTTTGTATAGAGATGCACTAAAGAGGGCGCGGGGAGATTCAACACCGCAGAGAGAAGTAGAGAGCCGCTATGGGCTTCCACTGAAAAGAGCGAACACCAGTTGTTGTACAAAATATTAAGGAAATAGCTGAGTAGTAAATAACTAATAGGACGCAGAAGTGATGGCGGAATGCAGATGGTTGAAGTTGCAGTTCGTTCCATCGAAGTTGGCACTGTAACTAAGTATAGTTAGTTAACTTTAGTCCAAGGAGGTTTGTTTCCGCAACCAAGATCCCGCGCGTTACAGATTTACGTAGCGTATTGGGCGCCAAGACTTCCCGTTCTAGCGCCAGGTCTCAGTAGTCTTGGCATTGAAGTTCATTTATCAATTTCAAATCACGTGGACACTCTGGTGCCTGCTCGGAACGAACGCCGCACGCTAATCCTGTTTCGGTGCCTAAGCGCAAGCCGAGCCGCATTGCGGTGGATAAATTATGGCCTTATGTTTTTTTGGCTGGGGCCGACTTTCCGCGCAACCTTGAATTCAACCAAAGCTCCAAAAGCCCCTTTTTTCTTATTCTGTCCCCGCACTCTGCTTGATGCTTTCCCAAATGATATAAAGTTCACCAGTCGAGTCAATTGCCACTTTTGCTGTCTGGTCTGCGTTTCCGCGTCTTGCGTTTCTTAAGCAGGCAGTCTCACCAATCCAGTACAATGGGCGCAAAAACCGAAAAGAAAGCTGCAGAAAAGAAGTCTGCTGGAAAGGCAGCACCAGCGCTCTCTCCCTCAGCTGCATTTGAAAAGCATGGATATGAGTTTTTTGGACCGTACGTCCCCGTTTATCATCCCTACTTGTATTAACTGATGTATTGTGCACTGTTTGCTCACCTGCAGTTTCTAGCCCGGGGACGTTTATCCTAATCACCGTCCTTCCGATTCTCATCTACATATTCCCCTTCGTCTGCAACGATATCTCCGGGTGCCCAGCACCATCCCTCCTCAGCCCTTCTACCCTTGTGCTGGGCACCTTAAAACGAGAAGTTGGATGGCCTGAGGATGGCCTGAAGGGCCTGTACGATACCCAGACCACCCTCTATGTCCTTGGTTACTACCTGCTCCTTCTGGTTCTCCAAATTGTGCTGCCAGGGAGAGAGGTCGACGGAGTAGTACTGGCATCTGGAGGAAGACACAAATATAAGTTCAACAGTGAGTAATTTTTCTTTCAGTTGTACCCAGATGGCCTTGATCGCAGTCTAACTTGGAGATTCCTCTACAATAGCCCTTCTTTCCACAATTTTGATCCTGGGAGGATGCGGTGCAGGAAGTTATGTATACGGGGCCGATTTCCCCGTATGGACTTTCATTTGGGACAACTACATTCAAATCATCACCGCAAACATCATTATCTCCGTGGCATTCTCGCTTTTCGTCTACCTTCGAAGCTTCACAGTTCCCGCTCCGGGACAGCCCAACCCAACACACCGCGAACTTGCACCTGGAGGCTGCAGTGGCAATCCAATTTACGATTTCTTCATGGGCCGTGAACTCAACCCGCGAATCACCCTTCCCATCCCCTTCGTGAGCGAAGCGTCAAGAATATTTGACATCAAAGTTTTCTGTGAGATGCGACCTGGTCTTTTGGGGTGGATCATTTTGAATCTAGCCAACATCGCACATCAGTACAAGGTCAACTCTGGTGAGATTACGATATCGATACTACTCGTTACTTTCTTCCAGGCTTTCTATGTGATTGACAGCTTCTTCATGGAACCTGCTATCCTCACAACCATGGACGTGATCATGGATGGGTTCGGATTCATGTTGTCATTTGGCGATTTGGTCTGGGTGCCATTCATTTTCTCGATACAAACAAGATACCTCGCCGTGTACCCTCTGCATGTTGGCCCACAGGGCATTGCAATGGTGTTGGGAGTTCAAGCGGTCGGATATTATGTCTTCCGCAGCACGAACAACCAGAAGAACAGATTCCGCACGAACCCTAATGACCCTCGAGTCAAGCACCTGAAGTACATTGAAACTGCAGCTGGTTCCCGCCTGCTGATATCCGGCTGGTGGGGTTGTGCTCGTCATATCAACTACCTAGGCGATTGGGTGATGTCATGGGCATACTGCCTTCCCACTGGTGTTGCGGGTTATCTCATGCTCGACCACGTGGATCCAGTTACAGGGGCTGTGGAAAAACGCGCAGTCCAGACCCCCGAGGTTCGTGGCTGGGGTATTCCAGTAACGTACTTCTTCATGGTGTATTTCACTATTCTTCTCCTCCACCGGGAAAGAAGAGACGAGGCGAAGTGCAGAAGGAAGTATGGCAAGGATTGGGATAGGTATACTTCCATTGTGAAAAGTAGGATTGTACCAGGGATCTATTAACGCGCCACTGGCCGACGGGTTAAAGACGCTTCTTCCCCCCCGTTTTATTTCGCTTCTTAAAGGAATTTTTCAATCAGGAGAGCATATGCGGGAAATGTATTCCGGATTTCGGTTCCTCTAACGTTGCCATGCCTTACGTTCCTTGTTTCCCTGATGGTTAGGGTCTATAGGTGTGAAGGTCACGTTTTATCTACAACGATATAATACTATTAATTAATCATTTTGCAAGCAATTCATGTATATAACTGGGCACAAAAAATTGAAGGAATATTACATATGGCCTGACATACTCTAGTTAAGTATAGTCAGTTTATGATATAAAGTGTTACACCCTTTCCACAACCTTCCTTGTACTGGATTCTTCTAAAAGCTCCAACCCCCAATCATCATCTCCCCGATTCTCAACCCAATTTCCAAGCACTTCTCTCACATCCGTCGTCACGTTCTTTCTGAGCTTCGAAGGGCCAATGCCCATCTTGATACACTTCCGCTTCATCAACTCATAACTTTGTGCTGTGAGCACGCATTCCTTCATTTTCGCAAAGAGCGAATTGTCGTGAATATGATCCAACGCTCTCCTTGTGGTACTTGTCTGGTTCTCGAATTTGCCAGTCTGGGCTGCAACCCCATCATTCTCACCACAATTGTCAGCAGAGGGCAAAAGTTGGACAATGTCTCTAAGTAAGCCCCACATCTTTGCGCGGGATAGAGCGCTTGCTTTCCGCGGTGTGGGCGAGGAGATGCGGTAGCCTTGTTTAACGCCATTTATGAGGGTTTCATTTAGCTTGGTGCCTGTTGCTAGTTTCCCATTTATCGCTGTAGATGATGATGGGGCAGCCGTCCAAACCGCAGAGATATTTCCCGGTTTACTCTTCTTCTCCGCACCATTGTTATCCTTCGGTTTCCCGAACGCCCACTCCTCCTGGACCTGGGCAGTCGGCACGGGCCGAACCTCAAATGGACGGAATGTATATCCCATCCCGCCTAGAGAAGCAGCAGTATCGTCATCGTCAACACCGGGATCATCATCGCTCCATCTCCGACCATTTAACTCCCCAAGTCTCCCAGTCTCACCACTTCCAAACGCCCTCGCACATGCCACGCGACTTATTTCCTCCTCCGGAAGCAGCAGTGCGGTCAAGTACGCATTTGAGCTTGGGAAAATGAGCAGACACGCAGGAAATGTCAAGAGAGACGTCACCTGCTTCACAGCCAACTTGTCAGAGCAGGATTTGCTCAGAGTTGATTCGGCGTCGGCACGAGAAGGCTTGCGGCGCACGGCGCCGAGGATAGAGAAGTGGGCGCGCCCGTTTAGAAGACTCGTCGTGGTGTGTGGAATATTGTTGGCTTGATTGTGTTGGCTACTATTGCCACTGGAGTTTTCGGGATTGTTACTGGCCCCGAGGGGAGGCGTAGCCCATGGTGTCGGGTCTTCCTGGGAGGCCATGCACAGTTCCATGCTGACATCGCCACATGGCGCACATGTTCCGTACATGTAGATTCTCAGGTCCTTGCGAAGCTCGAAGGGTGGCCATGAGTGTTTGGTCTTTGCCAGCTGATTGGTATCTGAAATTCTGGAGAGGGTGTGGGATGCAAGATTAGGCCCTGTTCCCGGTTGGTGCCTCCAATTTATGAATTTTGATGCATGTAACTTTCCGCAGGTTGGCTGCGTCCCCGCTTCATCGTTGTTGTTGGCCTCGTTTGCTTCGATTCTCTCGGATTTAAATTCATGATTCGAATAATCTATCCTGTGTTCAAGCAGGGATTTACATTCTTCAAGGAGCCAGTTGTTGAAAGCCCGAATCGCCAGAATTTCAGCATGGCTATCATGCAGTACCATGCCCCGGCATTGGCTAATCTGTGAAGACGGGAGGCATTTTGCCCCTGTTCTGTTTTCCTAAAGTCAGCGGAATTGGTCCATGCGATAGATAATAAAACATGGGATACATACGCGATAGCTACGCAAGTTAAAATCTCCTCCCGTGTATTTTCTCCTTCAATGTAAAAATTAATTAATCAATCTGAGCCCCTAATATATATTATTCCCAGATTCAATTAACCTAAAAAATCAAGGCGCATCATAGGTTCAAAATGGGAAAATAGCAAGGCATCCCAATGCAACAAGAGGTAATCATGCTCATGGTTTGCAGCTCAAACCATCCGGGCATATAGGAGGGGGGGGAATCATGTAGGTTCTCAGAAAGAATATGAAATGCACAGAGGAGAAAGTGTATATTTATTTTCCCCCTTCAACTAGAACGAGCAAAATCCATAGATAAACCATCGGGCTTACCAGTGACAAGCACAATGCCGCTCAGGGGCACCCATTCCCTCGATCCATCTGGGTGGATTGTTGGTTTACTGCGTTTTGGCAGGGCATCGAAATGCGAGTGGACAAGCCTTGCTATGCGACTCCCCAATGAAGCGTCGCCCATCAGAATACGGTCGACCTGTCTCACGAGTTATACCAAGATATGCTCGAAGCCATCAACGAATACACCGTCTTCGCAAATCCATTATCTATCCCCAAAGCGGTTCGAGATTGGAAGAAATCATGCCAAGAAGTTGGTGGTAATGGATATCTCGCAGAATCACGTGGAAATGAAATTACCCAAACGGGAAATATTTTATCTCATACCCGCGCCGGTCCTCAACTTCCAACTTGAACTTCACATTATTGAACGACCTACATCACCCTCTCATCTCACGAACTAAAAGAAAAATTAATAAATAAATAAACAACAATGGCGGATAAATTGCGCACTCTTCAGAATCTCGAGGCCCTCCAAGCCCGCTACGTCGGTACCGGCCACGCTGATACCACTAAATACGAGTGGACGTCCAACATCCTCCGTGATAGCTATGCATCGTACATCGGACACCCGCCCCTGTTGGAATACATGGCAATAGGGATGGGCGAGAACAAGGAGAAAGTTCGGGCTATGATGATAGAAAAGATGGTCCGCGGGGCGGGGAACCCGCCGGAGGTAAGATGGCCCTCTCCTCTTGTTTCTCTCTTCCCGGATTTGGGCATCCGGAGTCATGGGAGGGATCATGTTGAAATCTGTCTTATGGAGTGCTAATGACTTGTCTTGGAAAATATAGGTGCAAGAATAACATTATCCTAGCCGCTGCTGCGGTGAGATGGAGAAGACCGGACACATGGCCCCCTTATCTTGGAATATTCGCTAACGCCCTCCTCCTCCTCAATGGCATTCTATTCGCATGTGCTTCCACAACTGGACACAAATGGTATATCATCGGTTTGGCAGTCGTCTAACGATATCGGAATTCCGAGTCATGCGTCACCCCATATTCGGATTAATATCAGATTTCGACATAACGATGCATCGACCTAGGATGTTGGCGCTCGAAACTTTGGGAACGATCTTAGACTTCATGGGAACCGTGCATCAGCCTCTTGAATATCTCTCTGTCCACCTCGTTGCGAGGGGTCGAGCTGCGAGGCAGGGCAGCGGATACGTACATTTATTTTCATTAGGAATGACACGACTCTTGAATGGTTGGAGAGGTGGGTATGTCAGATTTTCTGATCTGTGTAGGGAGGAGCTGAAGGAGCTGGAGGAGCTGGAGGAGCTCCTATAGTGATGCCACCTTAGGCATTGTCGCGTACTCCTGTACGTCCGCTATGGGACGAATTATATCCCGTTATTAGGGGACCCTTTTCACACGTCAGAGCTTTGGAGCAAGTTGAATCGATCATAGACGCATTTTCGCTAGACGCAAGGCAGACATATAGATAATGTATGTGCATGTACAGTGAATAAAATCAAAATGTCATTATCATAGCTCACTGTCTTCCCTCCAGACCATGTCTACATGGCAGCAACGACGTTGCTAATCGAGAATATCACCAAAAATGCCCACCAAGCATACCACCCTCTCCTCCCTGTGTACTCCGTAAGCCAATACCGGGCTCGAGAAAAATGTAAGCGGAGGCCAGGATGGATTCCATCGAATTGGTACTGACGTCAACGGGAGGAACCCAACCCGCTGTTGAACGGGGCTTGGCAGTATGGAGGCGTTGATAAATTTAGGCGAGCGATGCCGCGAAAGCGCATTGAAAATGCATCCATTGATGAACCATGGGACAAAATCAACAGTCACGATGAGTTTCATGAAAAGCACTGTATATATCCCGTCCGAAATTAAAATTTCAAACTAAGGGGTCGACTAACGAGCTAACTATCGAACAATACGAATTTAACTACTCCGTAGATACTATATAGACTATAGGGCTGGCTGGGTGGGAATAACTAACAGACTAATTAATAGGCTAACAAAGAGGTGTAATAATAGTAAAAATAAAAAAAATTAAAAAAAAAAAAATCTCCAAAGCCCAGCTTTGGAGGTTCCCAACCAGCCCTAAAACTAACCAAAAGAATGTAAAGGTATGGGAGTTCCTGCATCCGATTCCTACCAACCCTTTTCCTTCCAGCCAGGGAAGAGGTGAGAAATTGGGAGGCCTCTCCGGGACATGATTCGACTATTAAGGTATTAAAACGAATAAAAAATCTGCCCGGAGAAAAGGGGATGAGCCTAGAAGAGGATAGTCCACGTATCTGGTCGATGTTCCGGTATAAAAATTGAGAAGATCCACCAAAACAAAAGCGTTGAGCTGGCGGGAAGAACGGTTAACGTCAGATAGGAACCACAGATCCCATTTTCCGAGAGGGTTTCCTTATTCTCATCCTTAAAAGAGTTCAACCGCAGGCAGAAATGTTAAAAGGAGTCGCCAGCAGCTGCCATGTTTGAGGACATCCTCACTTCAACCTTTCCGAACGACCAGAATCGGGACATGGAGTGTGTGGATGGATACCAAAACATGCCAGATGTTGGGTAGAGCCGGGAATGTCGCCGGTCGTAGCCTCACCAATCCGTATAGGGATTGCCAGTCCGGTACACAGTACCAAGAGCGAGTGTGGACCAAAGATAGGGAACAAAAAGTATCCAGGACCAAAGAACTGTGCTAGCCAGTCCCCAGGTCCCGGGATTATACCTTTCCTTAAACCGCAATCTATAATAAGCGACGAAAAAAAGACGTTTCGAGCCGCGAGGCACATCAGATCTTGAGGGTAATATCAAAATGCGAAAGGGACAACGAAAACGCAACAATAAGAAAGGAAAAATTACATCCGCCAAGGGAGTTAGTATGACGTAAAATAAATCGTCAGATAGCCGACCCGCCGGTTCTTATGCAAAATGCAGAAAACAAAATGAGATGACCAGACCCATGGAAAAAAAGCAACGCTTGCTGAACAACGCATGACAAAATCAAATCAATGACAATAAGAAACAAAAGAGAAAAAAAAGAAAAAAAAAAGATTAGGCAGTCTCAACTGGGAAGAAAAAAAAAAGAAAAAGAAAAAAGTGCCCTCCCTAAATTGCCGCTATGTCGATGAATTATGAAACGCCGTCGGAGTATGCCGCTGATGTCGTTGGTGTCACACGCGAAGGTCGTGTCTGAGCGTCGAAGTCGCATGTCTCATTATAACATTGGTCAAAGTGCCACATATTCACGAAGCGTAGATGCCTCCAAATGTAATTATTGACGGAAGTATAATCCCAGTTCATGCTCTGGCAGGTCCGCGCGTAACCTGACCGCCTGTGGCTGCTACATCGTAGTTCCATATGGAAGGGCGAAGTCCTGATATCGCTCACCCAGACCAAAACCCCCAATACTCGCTGCGGTGCTACACTGTTGCTGCGCAAGCATGCTGGGCAGCAGGAACTGCGGGATTGATGCTGTGGTTGCCGGAGAGCTGAAATACTGAGGTTCACTGTACGCGGCGGTGGAGTACGACTGGGTGGGCTGTGGCGGCGCTGGCGACGAAATTTGAATCTCATTAAGCGCAAGGCTGGCAGCCCACAGGTTCTGGTGTGTATCGGTCGAGGTAGTTGTGCTTGGGCTGGACGGGAGAACATTCCACGAATCAACCGGCTCGGGATGAGGTTGATGGATTGGACTGTGCCACCAGTTATCAGGCCCCGTCGAGCTGGGTAGGAGTGGAGTAGGCCTCACCACATCAACAATGCGAGGCGGAGGAGGTAGCAGCGGCACAAACAATCCAAGAATGGCGGCCTTGGCCTCATCGCTCCGACCACAAAGAAGCTCACCCGCACCGTCCTCCTCCATTCCCTCGAGTGCAGTCGCAGACGTGCGATAAACGAATCTGTTCGCGGCTTGAACGAACTCCTGCTGCAATTTCTTAAGCTGTACCTCTTTCTCCGGCCAGTTCCAGTTTTTGGCGGCAGTGTCCACAGAGTAGATATCTTTATGATACTCAACCAATGATTCAATAGTCTCCGGGGTGAGTTTAAAAGCGACTTCGTTCTGGGACACCATGTCAACGTGAACGACGTATGCTTCCATGTGGAGGAGTTGGTAGTTAAACAGGGCTTCAACCAGTGGATTGTCGTCCTGTCGCAACTCCGATTCCGGAGCCTTGGGAAGCATGATAGAGCACAGAGTCCAGATGGCATTTGGCGACGAAAGGGTTTCCGTCAAACATCGTGTGTGCTGCGTGACGTTATTAAGAGGGCGCTTGACCCGGTTGACTCTTTTCAATGTAACCGTTAACCACGGTTCTACCCGGGAGCTTAAAACAACATTTGGAGATGACCTTGGCGCGAAGGCAGCAGCCGACGCTGGAAGTAGAATTGTGGGCATCCTGGCTGGGCGGGACTATGAAGGTCCCTAAGGGCTGAGCAAGAAGGGTTTCAACAATATAATAATAGATCGAAATTTAGAAAGAGTATAATCATCCAACATATGTATATTATAATAATAAAATCAACATTCGTCCACAATTTGCCAGACTCGTAATCCAGGTCACCAAAGATGCGCCAAGGGAGGGAGAGGAGAATGGAGGGATGAAGAGCATAAGTATAAATTGAGGGTGGCGGGAGGAGGGTTTTAGAGGGCGCAGGGGAGGCGGTGGGAAAATGGTGATGGAGTGCGAAGGGAAAAGAAGATGAATGGAAGAAACAAAAAGAGAAGAAGAAGAAGAAGAAGAAGAAGAAAAAGATGAGTATTAGAAATGGCGGCGGAGGAGAGATGGCGATAATAGCCAGAAGAGGAGATGGGGATGTTCCGAAGGAGAGGCAAGGCGGGGGCGAAGCGAGGTTATATCAGCGCAGGCCCGTTCAAAATCATGGCGCGCTGACTCCGAGGGCTCTTCGCGTCCACACATGAAGCAAGGCACTTTTTTGCTTTCCCCCATTTTGAATAATTTTTTATCCAGATATCCTTTTCTTGCTCAAATTTTGCTCGGCAAGTGGGCTGGTTGCAGTCTTGCAGATGGTCGCAGATGGTCGCATGCAAAAGGGTTCAGGATGCATTGGCAGTGGCGGTACGGTATCTCCGTACGCCGTACTGTATTTTAAAAGATATCAAATACATCTTGCCCTAAAGTGCTTGGCGGCTGGATGTATGATATGCCGGGCAAAAGGTAAGAATCCTGCTGGCTTGTTTGGGCTGGCCGGCTGGGTGGAGGCTGTATTGTAAGGTATGATACGGTACGCTGTATTGCTCACGCCGATACGAAACCCTGGCGGAACTAGGTGGACTAGGGTCAAGGAGGCACCTTGTCAATCGCCCGCTGAGGCCCAGCCAGTTTAAGGGAATAGGCGACGAAAAGGGAGCAGGAGAACGAGAGGTCTTTTGCTGATGACGACTCAAAATAGCTCCATGTCCATAAAAGGTTTCAGTTGATATGCAGGTCTCTAAAGACTTTCCGGAAATATGCAATAGTACAAATTCCCTGTGGCGAGTGGTTTGTCTACAACCCTTTCCTGCGTCGCTGCTAGCACGCACTCACGGGACATTATAACTTTCCCCTTGATGGCACATCCACCTACGCTTTGGTGGGCATATGTGCTCGGATAGGTAGGCAGGTGCTTTGATGAGCTCAGGGTTCCAAACTTTTTTGTGGATAATCGCAATGACCACTAGTTGCAACACCCGCGGGTTTCCCCAGGTGATAGAGACTCAAGCGGGCATCGCTGGGAGTGGACGCAGCTTGCTGCAGGTGAAATTACCACCAGAATTTCCGCCATTCCAGTGGTTGGAAAGTAAATGCAGGAAAGCTTCTTGCATGCTCAGATTAACCTCTAGTTACCCAACTGAAGACTTGCATGTTCCACTGTAGCGGGGCGCGACGCGAGGAAGCCTACAAACTTCCACATCAAAAAAAGTTAAGATGTGATTCCGGGATCCTATATCTTGATTCTTGATCTTCGACAATCTGACAGAATCATGTAATCTAGACTCGCTTTATCCCGTCTCTTCTGAACTGATTGTATTCAAGAGATGAGGCCCGAGCAACATCCTCAATGCATTTTTTTAACCCGTGAGGAAGTTCAACGAAAGAAAAGTTTGTTGGGAGTCAATAGATCCATTGAATAGGATTAAATTCATGCACTACTAGCCTCCAGGTGTCCCAGATAAGTCTTCTACATCGGGCGAGTGTCAACCCACAGATCTCGCAATCCCTGTGGTGGGCTTTGGAACAGGGCCAGACAAGGGCAAAGAAAGATACGCAATGTTATAGTTTCGAAACATATCCACAGGCTCGTGTAGGGTAAGGGGATAACAATGTTTTGGCCAACAAATGGCTAGTGTCAGAGAGGACATGGACCATGATGGAATGGGCGATAGGGACGATACTGGGCGGGGGGGGAAGCGGGTTCACTAGAGCTTGTCCGCGGATGGCCTTTCAAACAGTTCCAGTATTGAAACCTTTTCGAGGACAGGTTCAGCTGATGGCGGGTTGTGTCTTGGAGGAGTTTGGGGATCAGATTCGCTGCTGCCCAAGGACCCCAAAACCCACTACATTGACAAGATCCCTGTTCTGATCGCCGATTGGATCGAGCTGGGCTCCACCTTGATTCCAGGCTTTCTGGAAGAAGACGCCAACCTCACAGCCCGCTGAGCCCACGGACCAGGACAGTGCCTATCTCTCTCCTTGTATGCACATCATTTTCAAGGTAGTAGTAACTAAGTAACGTCCGGGCCGCTTTGGGAGCAAGGATGAAGGGTTGATATAGCGAGGGAAAGCCCCCCTTCCTTGATGCTGGGCCACGGTTTTATGCTTTGTACCAGTCATATTTTGCTTTTGCGTCCATCCCGAGAATGCGGTCAGGATCTTGACTTTTGATGTTTCAGTAACCACTTGCTGTCTTCTGGAGGCAGTTTCTTCTCACTCACCCTACCTATAGTGATACTTCCCGCTATGTCAGCATCAGGTGATGGTTAGAACCTACCTAGTATCCACGGCTGCCGGGGATGAATGATATGCCCCGTGATCCCGGACGATCTCCATTCAGCGCGAATGTACGCAGTAAAGTATGGTTGGATGTAGTGATTATTACTTCACAGAGGCTCAGCAAATACCGCGCCGCAACAGATAACTCTGCCATTTCCACCTAGCCGCTGGTCAAATTCAGGAATAGCCTTTCCCCTCCTACTGACCATTCGCCGTTCCTATTCTGACAGGAGCCCCCAGAAAGTCAAACGACCAGATGTCGCAACACGCGCGCGCTGGTAGTGGAAGCTATAGTTAACAGGCCAAACAACCAGCAGCTCCGGAGTTCAGCTCGCAAAGGACGCTTTCAACCGGTTCTGTGCGGAACTGGAAGAAGATTGACGGGTCAGATAAATGGACGTCATCGCACCAACTTGCCGGCGGCAGATGACACACCAGTAACATGATTATTCTTATTATTACCTAGACAGGCAAAAGTGATACCCCAGCAGCCTTCTTTTTGGATATCGTGGACTCTGCTCGGCAATACGATAATCCCGACTGCGCCTCGCAGCGTGGCTGTGCTGACGCAATCAGTCAATATCAATGTCACAACTTACAACAACAATAATAATAATGTCCTTGCTGTGGTCGATTTACTTGACTTTCTCTTTGGGTATCATGCATGAATATTTCCAAAATTTCACATTGTATGTAACTACCTGTTCTGAACAGTACTACTGAATATTAAATATTTCACCATCTGGCATCAACTCCCTCGAAAAAAAAAAAAAAAAAAAAAAAAAAAAAAAAAAAAAAAAAAAAAAAAAAAAAAAAGATGCGGCACGCCTCTACAGTCTGTATATTTTGTAACCATCAATTTTTAAACCCGAGAGTCCCAAGCTCAAGACGCGCGACATTTCGCCATCGTCGCGTCCGGGGCAAAACCGTCCAGAGCCCAATGACGCCATACTAGCTCTGATCTACACTATACTCGGACATCCGCGATGAGGAACCAGTGGTTTTCTCTGCAAGCGGGCGTTTTGAAACCTCTGCAGTGACAGCTTTTTTCTCGCGCCTCTTGGTGGCTTCCACCAAGAGTCCATATGGACCAGAACAAGGCAAACCTCGAAAAGTTGCATGCATATTTTGCGTGAGTCATCAAATGGTTATACCTGCAGTTTCAACGGGGGTTTCTTGTTTCATCGTCGCCCCGCCCAGTCCAGCCTTATTAGCCTGGCCCGGGCGCTTTTTCTTGCACATACCTAGTTACCATGTCTGTCTGTCTGTGCATGCAGCGAGGCCCGACCAAGCCCAGCTGAAAAGATGAACCCCAAACCCGCCACTTTCGTCAAGGCTGGACTAGAGGTTGATCTGCTTCGCTTTGTGAGGATAATTTGATAATTTTGCAACAACCTTGATCCGCGAGTTGTTGTTGTGCGTCAACGGGATCTACAGCCTGGTATTTGATAAGATAACGGCGCCCATTATCATTACATTCATGGACAGTCTGAAATGCCCTAGACGGTAATCTCTAAATCGGCTATCTTGACCGCCTCCCGCTGCGTTACGATGAGCCGAGAGCTGATTCCCACACCGGTGAAGTGGGCGCGGGGTGAGGGGCGCCATCGCTGCTTTCGTCGTTTGAATTCACATGTTCACTGCATGAGTCGCCAATATTGTCCACACAATAATGAGTACGAGCCATACTTTTTTTTTTTTTTCCCCGACTTGCTCATGACATCAAGTTTGTGCCGTCTACAAGTGACCGCTACTTTGCAGTTTTCAGAGGGATTATTCTTTTACCGCCTCTTCACCTTGCAGCCAGCTATCAAACCTTTCACCTCGCTGCTCACTGCTTGCTGCCCACTTAACAGATGACCTCCATTATTCTTGTTTTCAGTCATGCCAGGCCCTCGAAAAGGAAGATTTGTTTTATTGTGCCAATAAATATTATTAAGCATTACTTGGGCACAGATGTGAACTTGATACTCCGTACTCTCCGCCATGTTTACTGCGTATCCTAGGTGCCATCCTCATGCATGGAGGCGTGAAAAAAGGCCTTTAACTTCTTTAACTTTTATCACCTGGTGAAACAAGATGGAAACATTTAAGGCAGCAAAAATAAACAACACAAAATCTGAAGCAGCTCATCTGCAGGGCAACGTAACAAAAAATAAAAACTTATGCGAGGCGGGAAATCCGCTGTAACAAAAATGACGCACGAGTAAACACGAGCAACAACGCGCCTTTACGTAGTTTCAAATACTTTTTTTTTTTTTTGGGGGGGGGGGGGGTTGCTTTTGCACCTCTGACGCGACCTGTTCCATTTTTCAACCACTTTCACGGTTCGATTTTCCTTTCTCTTCAACCGGGCGAAAAAAAATCACCTGCGGGATGATATTAAAATGAACGTGAGATTCGGGGCTTTTTTATGAGACACACGAGAGCGCGTGACGCTTTTCTCTTTATGTTTCCGAACGTTGCCATTTTTCTTGATGCCGACGTCATCCCATCATTGCCGACAGACAAATGTCTCTTGACATAGGTATGCAAAGCGCGAGGTCGAGGAGACTGAAGTTATTTGTCGCGGTCCTTGGCTTCGCGGGAAAAATGTTGAACTATGTTTGCTCTCCGACGCGATAACTAAATATATCCCCATGTTTCTGTTTCAGGATCCCTGCATTCGCATCATTGATATGGAGATGTGAGGTTTGTCGTTTCTGCAGGCCAAAATAAAAATTTAAAGAAAAAGAAAAGAAAAAGAAAAAGAAAAGAAGAGAAATTCACGCGTTTATACGAAATATCAACTATTTATCGTCTCGATTGATCAAGTTACTTGCAGGACGGTACTTTCGCGTATCCGTGATGTGTTAAGGCGCGGCATACCGTACCCTTAACCCCACACCCCATTGCGCTTGGTACGCGAGTCTGTTGTGCTTTGGGCCAACTCCAAATACCATATGAGAATGGAATGCTGGAACAGAAATGCCAACATCATGGTTTAGCAATCGTGGGAGAGAAAAACGGTACACATCCCGAACATGCATTTGGTGTTCAGCTGATATTCATATTCCGAAGGCCATCAAGTCCTCTTGCAAATTATGCACGGCAAGGCTACGTATCCCCATTCAAGTTGCCGATTTAATCGTATTTTCCATGATTTGGTAATTTCCTTTTAGAGTCGAATGTATTCCCAGTTTGGTACGGCATTTCCCACTCTAAATATGCGATATTCAGCCGTAATCCACTGCAAAGGCAAAGTGGAAAGGGAACACCGATGTCGATGAGTGTGGGTTAAATAAGTCAGCCTTGCGAGAAAGATGGTCGTTCGGATTTACGCGACATCCTTTGGCTACTACTCTACATATTTTCTACATGCAGCCGGATGTTCTGCGCCTCGCCTGCTGGGCCATCCTACTACGGAATACAGAGTACATGTTCGGCCGATTGAGGGCTCAGATACTCTATGTTAAACGTATGTCGTTGGACGATAAATGAGGGTGCAAGCAGGGGAAAACATAAAGCCAAAAACACGGTTGACAAGTAAGATTTGCCTATTCTGCCGATGCCATATCTAACCTGCGTCTCTGTCTGATGGAGGGAGCATAGAGGCGTTTTTCCTTTGTCACAGGAATGACAACGGATAGCCTGAGTACGGAGTAGTTGCCGCAGTGTTGGCTCCGATGCATAGGCGGAAGCAGTTGTTGAAGTGGCCCTGAAGATTGTGCGACACGGATGTATGTACATACATGGTGTCAGCCTTGAAGCTATTCCTCTAGTTATGTCGAGGAAGGTGGCGGACGTGTTTGCATTGTCTGGTGGAATGTTCACAAGCTCCATAGTGTTTGTTCGATGGATTTTGCCGTGGTGTGGTGAACAAAGCAAGGGAAATAAATATGCAAGTTGGAAACCAGAACTCATGTACAAAGAGAGACCGATCAGGGCGAGGAGAAGGAGAAATCCATGGGCCATGTACTCTGTACCCATGGTTGAATCGGGAAGAATGGATGGATGAAGTTCCTTTTGAAGTAGTTACCTAATGTCCATATAATGTTCTATTTATCTCAGCCATATCCCTCCCAGCTCTCTCAACCGGAGATTTCAGATAGATAGTGTCCTAATCCTCCTGCACAACCTATCACTATCTTACCTGCAGGCAATAGCGGACATATCAGCTGTATTTCTCTTACAATCGAACACGTGCATACCACCAGTAGCAGCATCATCAACACCAGAAATTTCGATCTCAATCGATCGAATATGGGGACCACCACCGCTCTTCTTTGTCACCATGTGCTAAGCGTCCGTTCGCCTACTAAATAACTACCATAGCTCTACGCTGTACTTCCCCGGCTTGGGAACACCAACAAAACCCGCCCGCACGGGGGAAGAGGCTTAACCAACGTCATTTCTTGTCTCGTTGGTTGGTTCAGTGAGAGCATGCGTACTCTATACAGACTCGAAGCAATTAGTCTTCATGAAAAGTGATCTCCAGAATCAATTCTCAAAAATATATAGTAGCCACCTGGGATAAACAAAAAAAAAAAAAAAAAAAAATCAATCGCCAACATCATCCAATAATCAATCAATTGTGATAGTTCAACAAAATCTCATCATAATAAAGCATGTTGGAGTCTCTTATCATTGCTGTTCATTCAACTTGACTCAAGACCCCCCAAAAACAAGCCAATAGGGCCTTTGCTGTGCTAGTACGAGCACTTCCTCTCCGCAAGTTGATCAGTGTCGTCGATCATAACCCCCCAGCCGATATCCACGCCCCATCTCAGGTCCTGGGAGAGCGTGGACTTTAAAAGCTCCGCCTGTGGTCAACCATAGGGTTAATTGGGAAATTGAGGTGTCTTTTCGAATTGGGGAGATTTTATATTGTGAGAATATGGGGTGTCTGAAACGGGTATGAGCTATGACATTTATAAAAATTGCACAGATTGAGAAAATATATGCTACTTTTCATTATTGATGTCACCCTTAAAACGTGGCTTTTTGGCGAGTCAACTTTCCAGTTCCTGGGATATTTATGTTCCCACTCCACGACCACTCCCCGCATATTTGCTTTTTCTTATTTTGGAAGTTGCCCAAAACTGAGTGGATTGCGCGCCCAATAATGATCGCCGTAAGCTTGTTCCCCATCGTCCAAGATTTTCATTCCGCCTGACTAATATCATCAAATATATATCCCCGCAGCGGCCGGCCCATATCAAGGTCACTGGTGGAGTTCATATGAAATATGTATCGATGCCGAGATGATTTAGTATTGCAGGTTCCCACGTCGTTAGCATGCTTTTTAAGACTGCCGATGATATGACGACAGTAATGAGACTCCGTCTCTAGCTCGGGAAACAACGGGAAAGGCCGAGCGCGGCTACGATGGTCGGAAGAAAGAATTAGAGTTCCATGGGCATACAACTTTCCTGCTTGGAACAGGCTTGGAGTTGCGATAGTTCAAGAGGTTATATCAATTATGGGTCATCGGCCAGGGGCCAGGGCACCAGTAGCTTTCTTAGGGGAGCTGGGATGAGGTCCACAGGAATTCAAGTCAGCGTAGAAATAAGCATTGTCCTGCCGAGATAGACTGCGGGTGGTTCTTCCCGTTCGGATATCTTCACATGAAGCTGCTCAACGATTTTGTGTTGGTTTTTCAGAGACCGACTCCTAGGCATTATCCGAATAGCTGTAAAAGCCTTGGGTAAGTCCGCTCGGAGCATTTACATCTTTCTCACGCCTCCATCTCTCTCCTTAGTAGTCAATGAACTACCATTTGGTATGAAGTTATAAGAGAGCGGCTCAAGTTCCATTGAGCAAGTTCCTTTCCAGCCACTTAGGAAATCAATCCCAGCCCAAGCTCCAGGCCCAAAGAAGCTACCCAGCCTCGCAAACCAAAGCAAACCAAATATAAACTCGAAACGCGATAAGGAAGACAATATACGTTTCTTCATTCTCATCTCCCTCCTCCTTTTCACCGTTTTCGCTCTTGCCAACCCCGAACCTGCCCCTGCCCCAGACCCGCAGCTAGGCGACATCAGCGAAAAACTTCGGGGCATCGGTGAAATTCTAACTGGTGAGTTTCCCAGACAAGTTCAATCCGCGATCCGCCATGTCGACGATTTGCGAGACGGTAAATCAACAAAGGTTACGAAGAACCTTCTCATGACAGCTGGACCCGCAACCACTCCTGCGCTCTTGAAGAAAGTCAGCGGCCTCCTAGACGATGGAAGCAAGCTTTTGGCGCCTGATTTCGTTGATCCGACCAAGAATTTGATCAAGAAAGCTAGCAAAGTAGGGGCATCACCGCCCTATCCCTTCACAGCCCACCCACACATATGAACATATATACCCGGGGTCCTTATCGCTGACTCATCGAAATAGCTGCTTGATACTACTGTCGATGCTTTGTTCGAATCACTTGGGCTTTAAGCCTATCATTGAATAGAATCGACAAGTGACGAGAAACGGGGTTCACGGAACCGTGCGAGAAATCATAAAGGCCGAATATCAAGCGTCTATGTGCTCGTAAAATCTCCATTGCCGGTCCAGAATGATCAGAAAATTCGGGATGGCTTGAACACTTTGCATAGGTTCGGGATGAGGAGGTTGTGCGAAGGCCAGTTTGATATCGCATATATCTGCTGCTACTACTGTTAGATGATGATACCCACGAGCAGCTTGTGCCTAGCGAAATACACGTTTAATATAGTTTAGACACTCGCGCAAAATATTTAAGGAATTGAATATGTGACTTGACGGGTCTTAATTCTGACAGGAAATTTATCCCCAATCCCGTAAGGCTGGTTTGTCAATGTAACAATTCGCCTGCACCATCTGCCCCATTGATCGTTATTTCCCACCTTGCTCGATTGTTGCATTACTCCATCCCTCCGAAAGCAACATTTTTTTTGTTATTTTGACTTTTTGCAAAAACCTATGAATGTTCGATCCGATTTACGGACTGAAACTTTTTCAACTAGCCCATGAAGAAGCGCGTAAGCGTGTATTGAAATCTCTCTTATAGGCCAATTTTGTAGATTGAGAGATGGGCTGAGAGTTGTATCCGTGCGCCGTCAAACGATGTCGGGTTCCGGGTATACTGATGCATGTAACTCGATACAACCATCAGTTTGATGTACTTCGCGAGCGCCGTTGGATAAAATATTCACCACTCGGAGGCGCGAAGATGCAACATCTCCTGGGTATCACCTATACCGGAATTGTAACTGGCGCATCCCCCCTTCGGTATAGTGAGGCTCGATCTTGTCCATCCATTCTCCGACAATTGAAGTCAAAAAGACCAGTTAAGTTTTGCGCTCTCTTTCCTTCTTGATCTTCTCAAACACTCTCCGCTCCGTGTCCCTCTCTTCTGTCTTCCTCTTCATAAGCCTCTGTAAATTCTCTCTCTTCTCCTCTGCCTCCTTCATCCGCCTTTTCACCTCTTTCGCCATTTCTTCCTGGCCCTTGACAGCAGCTACGGAAGTCGGATACTCCTTTCGCAATGACTGCAACTGCGCGCGAATTTCGACAGCGTCAAGCGGAGTGCAGGTGATTGGGTGGTATCGATGCGCAGGGAGAGGGTCAGAAGGGACACGAATGTCGGGTAAAAGATGGTGAATTGGGGTCGTGCGTATTGCCGAATCAAGAGGAACAGGTTCTGCCGAATGTAACTGCCCTCCAGGCGATTGGGGCTCTGAAGGCGGTGATGGTGGTAGCCGGCCCATTATTGCGAGGTGTGCTGCTGGCGATGAGTTTGTCCAGTTCAACTCTCGGGGGCCCTAGTAAGTAACTTCAGTGTGGTTGGTTGTCTTATACTGTAACTCAAGTGTTGAAAAGCCAGCACAGACAACTAAATAAGCACGTGATGATAACTCTAACACACTAAGCGGTGAGCTTGATAAGAGCATCATCAGGGCAAAATCCTATTCATCCAATCTTGGTAAAGCCAGATCAAAAGAAAGCATTCATTATTGTTAATTTTTGTCCAATATGAAGTGGTGCATATAGACAAACATCTACATAGAAATATAGGGAAGCAAGCACCTGACAAATCTGCTATGTGAAAGGACACATGCCCAAATTGGACAGGCTGCACACATCCCCTTCTGCTCCACAATGCAGGCCTTTGGTGAGCTGTTTCAATTCCCTCTTGTCCTGCACAGCTACCAGCCAGGATGAAGCCCTGGGAATACATGGTGTACTCGGCCAAAACGCTAACAAGCACTTTCACAGTCCCAAAAAACAGGCGGGTAATCATGTCTCCCCTCCCCTTGGATTGCAGAACACAGGCTCACCTATATTTTACCATCAACTTAGCCCAAGTTCGAATTTACATTGCGGGTATGTTCTACAAGCTTTAACATCTGAGCCTGTTGTAGGCGGGCCATCCAAACTGATTTATCTAGATAATTGACTTGAATAACATCCCGCTTGTCGTTGGGTCATCTTACACAAAATGGCACCTCCCGTCATCTACTTCAGCTGAGCATCGTGGGCAGACGGATAAAGCTGTCATCCAGGACCATCGAGCTTCGTGGGACTACAGAAAGGTTCTACCCATCAGACTTACTGTGGATCGGAATCAGATGCTCCACGAATGTGAAATCTGTTTCGAGATAATCCAAGAGTTTAGCACTGGAAGCCGCGGGGATAGGCAGCTGCTAGGCAACGTGCGACTTAACCTGGCCGAGTATGTTGAGAAGAATGAGGACGGCGAAGGAGTCACTAGGCGGTACTTGATGCAGGACAGCAAAATCAATGGTACCCTAAAGGTCGGGATTGTGATGCGTCAGGTCGAAGGCGAAACCAACTTTGTCACGTAAGTATCTATCTTTAGTTTTGAAGAAGGTATCTGAATGCATCACCGTACTGACTGTTTGTAGGCCCCCTCTCAAAACTGCCATGGTATTCGGTGGGATTGGCGGTTTTATATCCGCGGAGCAGGGCGACCTGCAAAATTCATCCTCTATTCCCTCTATTAATAGCCGAAGTCGCGAGGCTGGCGATTTGCAGGACATGTACCGCCGTACGCTAGCTGCCTCCTGGGCGTGTCGAGCTGGCGAACTCCCCCCTGACCGTTTAATCGAAGACATCTTCGCGGGAGGTGACGGCTGGGAATCAGGTGCCCCTAGTTTAAGACTAGACGATGATAATGAAGACATCACGTCGTTTAGTGATGCCCACTCCCGGCAGACAATTCGGGACGGTACGGTTGATAGGAGGTCCAAATCATCCTTCGGAGGCCATCGAAGAGGCCTTAGCAAGAGTAAAGAGAATCTCGAACTTTCCGGATACGAGATGCGCCCAAGGAAAGGGAAAGCCAGGGAAGTCTCTGAGTTTGACCTTCGTGAAGACCTGAGGAGCTGGGAAATTTCTACGCCCCAGTGATTCGCGGCCCAGTATCCCCGGAATATCGCGACTTTTACGGCAGGAATATATACTGTGCACGATTAGTGGAGCAGAAATTTAGTCGGGTGCCGAACTGGCTCTTTATAACGTTCTATATAAATATATAATATACGATTAAGGTAAGACCGTCCTCCTATACAGCACGTCCTTGGTACCTATCTGAGATTGATAGCAGATCGCTTATCAGCATTACTGTAACATTATGGTGATCGACATATCTTGATGTAACTCGTCCTGCTTGATTCAACGCGTACATTTTTACAATCCTTGTGCTTTCATGGTCACCTGGTCAACCATGCAGAAATTTATCAGCGAGAGAAACACTTTTATATGTTACGATTAATCATCCTCGTGATGTCTATACTATATATTTAATTTAATTCAATAATGCTCTGGTTCACGACAGTGGTTTTCGGCCTCCAATTTGGCTCCATGGATCCCAGTAAATCTTCCAACGTTACGGAGTAGTAATGGCACTAAGTGCAGCTAATCACGTGGGAACTTTCCTTCCCGAAAAAGTTTGGCATCCGTCAGAGGAGAGATCCCAACTTTTATTTTTTTAAATTATGCCCTGAACGGAAACACAGGGCCGTTCGTCCTGTGGTCCCATCATTACGGATGTTTAAGACGTCGTCGCAAAATGCGGCGGCCTGTCTTCGATGCCAATTTGGCCCTCCGCGTTCTCCAAAGGCCCTGACGACTATCCTCCTATCCCAAGCATTTGGCCTCCGTCAAAACCGATATAATAGCACAACACTCCCAAACCAACCTGGCGAAACAGACCCTAAACTATACCCGGTATTGGGCGTCAAGAAATCGCGCTACCAAAGACATGTTGCCCGTTTGGATGTGAAGACGCTGGGAGAGGTCGGTGAGGTTGTGATACTCAAGGAGAGAGCCAGTCGACCAAAGCAGATGACCGTTCGCAAGTTTTCAAGGATACTAGAAAAGGAAACTGATGGTGATGCTCCTTGGGATAATCCGTCTGAGCTCCTGAAAGAGGTCGATAAAACAAGACTGCAATTAGGAGGCGCCAAAGAGGTGATTGAAAATATTGAGCAAATCCGGGGGAACCGCAAACCTGGAGACAAGCTAGACCGAAACGAATGGCGCAAGCTACGGAAAATATTAGAAGATGGGTTTACAGCTAATCAGCTAACTGATTATCGCAAACAATTCGAACCACCTGCGAGTATCTCTGACCAAAAGGACATCTCGGCCACACCGCATTCCGGATGGAGGCCTGGGACATCACTTTTTCTGGAAATGGACCCCGAAGCCCAGAAGCAGACAGCATCCAGGATCGGGAGTCTCGGACATATGGCTGGAAAAATTGCTTTAGCGGAGATGGTATTACGAGACTGCTGGCAGCTATCCGTTTTGGGTGAGATCGGTCAATTGGACATCCATCTGGCGCCCCAAGAAATTTTCATGCTCCTATTGCCTGATATTAGCCCTCTCAAAGATCTTGCAATCACATATGGCGCCAAGATAGATGTTTCGCGATCTTTAAACCTTGTGAGAATTACCGCAAACGAAAGTGCCTGTGAGCTTGTTCGACAGGGTGTCATGGAGTTTTTCCCTAGGATAATCTCCAAAACTGTGGACCTACCCAGCAGAGGCTTTGTATTCCATGGAAAGAACAGAAGATTCGAGGAGCGATTTTTCCGTTCCATGCAAAAGTCTCTCAATGTATTTTGCTGTAAAGAGCAAGGGACAAACCAAATAAATATCTATTTCGTTCAGGAGATGGAGAAAGACGCAGAGGAGGCATACAGGAATATCGAAACCGCAGTATCAATGACGGAAGAAGACCAAACCCGGTTCTGCACATATTTGTCGGACACTGAGCCGGCAGTTATGTACTCCGTTTCCTACCAGGAATTCCTACCTTGGGCTGATCGCCAGAGACGATGGCTAAGATGGATGAAACCGCTTTCTGGGACAAAAACTCCAAGTGGTACTCAATCAGAACCACCCCCAGCTCTCGTCCAGAAAGGTCGTGGATCAGTTTGCGAGAAAGTGTGCAATGAGTTGTTTACTCCACCAGCTTCATCCAGCTGGCGCAGCCCTGGCCAGCCTCACATTCGCGAGGTCGTTGTCGCTTCCCTCGGAAAATCGCTGTTTGCGCACCAACAATCAATGAAACCCGGAAAGATGAAATTTAAATCTTTCAGTCCTACGGTCCCTCGAGCTTTTGCTGCCAACATCTCCAATCCCATATCGTTCCTCCAACGTCTCTCTCCGTTACCGAACGTGGGAAATGGTACCTTTCACCGAATTCGACTCAAACCATCAGCTAAAAACAAGACGCGCCTCCCGCCTATTGAATTAGAACTCGACGTCGTACTCCGATATGCTGGTAAACGTCAATTCCTGGTACCAATTCTACGAAAAGCCACTGCCATCGTCCATAGAGCGGACATAGACGTGTTACTGCCGGAAACGTCGCTAGACCTCCGCTTTAATAAATTCACACACTATGACCTTCTGGAAGGCCGGAAAGCATCCGCTTTGTCACAAGCCGAGAAGCAGAGGGCTGATATCTCCAGCATTTCAGAAGTTATCCAAAATATGGTCTCGGAAGATGTTTACATGCAGCCGCGTATGCCCATGTCCTGCGAGCTGACGATCCCACGCAAACTGATCGCTAAACGAGCATCCGTCGCGGCGACAGCAGGTTCGCATGGCAGCGGGAAAGGAGAGGCAGATTTCGTTACAGGGACATATATGCTTCCTCCCATACGCTACCTCAGATCAGCTCGAATTTCGCGCTTCAACTACAAGGATCTCGAGCTCAGTTACTCACACGTGAACATGGGTCCTGCCTTACCTGAACATGTGATCGATATGTCCATTTCTCTGGGTCGTGATGACAATGAACTACGGCCGGAGCTTTGCCAACCAAATACCCATCTCTCCTCCGCTGTCGCGAAGGGTCAATCTGAGGGATCGCTTCAGGCCGCGTTCGAACAATTCTATGCCCAAGCTTGCGAGATGGCTTTTGAACAGAGCGCTGCTGCGGCGAATTATAAGGGAAAGGTAGAAGTCGGGGACGAAGACGGCTTGGCAGACGTCACAACTGTCATTGAAGAGGATTATAAGCCAGACTTCAATCTTGACCCTGAGGACATGTTTCGTCAGTGGGTGGAACAAGGCTCACAAGGGGAGTCTGAGCGTAGATTTAATAGCAAGGTCCGGAACGGCTTGGAATAAAGTGATGTATACTTTGGCGCTTTCGATTTCTTAATCCCCCTGTACATTTAGTGTTTTTCACTTCGTTATAGATCATATTGTATTCCTTTTTGTGTAGGTTGCATTGTCTTCTGTGATCTTGGTGTTTAGGGTGGGTTGGTTGCTAGTGATGTTTACCTATCTATCTATCTATGCTGGGCGAAATGTATACATGCAAAGTAGAAATGGGCCCATTGATTGGAAAGGCAACTGGATTCAAATACTTTGAACATATACTGTTAAATAAAGTTCAGGGTTGATTAGATTAAAACCTCTTGTTCCTTTCAAACCCCAGCTAACTGTATAGTATAACTACATTTGCTGCAGCAAACTGGTGAAGAAAACTAATTTCACCAATACCATCGCATGGAGAGCGGCCATCCTCCCAAATTCTTTAGGCAGCATTCATGCAGCTGGATAAACTCGGTTCATCAAACCCTCCAAACTAACACACGCACCACGGACCCATTTTCGTATCAGACGCCTGGTCATCCATGCCACTATCATTATCATCACTATCAGTATCATCAGTCGCAACAGCGCCTCCAGCTGGAGAGTGCCCCCCAACAGAGCGGTCCGCTAACTTGAGGAGCCTTAATAGATAGATGAACCGATCAGATCACTTTGCCCATAGTATCAACAAAAATTCCGCCATTGGGCAACCTCGGGATACCAACTTGGGTTTATCGGCCATCCAGAAATGTCGCCCATCCCTGCCATTTCGCGGAATGCATCCCACGTTTGGTTTACCATATCGAGCTGTTGCTCAGCCGAAATTTCCGCGCTTATCGTCATACCTCGGTATACGAACGGAATTTTACACGGCACGCGGCGCAGAGAGTTTTGATAGCATCGAACGACGTGCTTATGTAGACTATTAAGTTCCAAAAACCCTGCAGTGAAAGGACTACTGCAGATAAAAGAGCCAAACCAAATACTGGGTCATCCGGATTAGAAACGCGATGGATACGGTTAATGGTGGAGGGTGTCTTAGAAAGGTAATTTTCCCGTGTCAGCAAAAATCCAAAACATCTTATAAGCATGAAACGGTTATAAATACAAAATGTTAGAAAGGAACGGGAGGGATAAATATTAGTTGTTTTAGAACGAACCCAAGTTAGGAGTAGTGAAAGGAAAAATAGTGAGACTCGTTTCATATACAAATAAGTTGCGGTATGTCTGTCAGCAGTCTGCAGGGGTCGTAAAATGGGCAGGCGCGTTCTCCAGGTCCTGTTTTGGCTTAAGCTCGAGGTTCGAGTAGGTCCGAGCGATGCACCGTCGTGTGATCTTACTTGGGCGTACGCAGTAGGAGCGCTGCTCGCTGCGCTTCGATTTTCGAGTTCGTCGAGGCCTAAATCGTTTCTTCTAGCGTCGGTAGTTCCACTTGATACCGGTGTTCCGTGCTGTTCATAGTTTGATCTCGATTCATCTTGAGCAGCTCCCGTCGCATAAAAAGTGGGACCTAGTGTAAGAGTTGACGGTTTCCGTGTTGGAAGTTGCCCATGATTAATGTTAGACCTTGCGCTCTCTGGAGTTGTTTCTGGTGTTCTTTCTGGTGTTTCGCGGGTTGACAGATCCGTCTTTGGCGGTGTCCTTTCATTGGCGCTTGTATCTCCTTCTCCTAGAGGCTGTACGTCTCCGGAAGAGGGTTGGGATTCGAAAGTTGAGGCATTTCCAGGTCCATTGTCCGCCCTCGTGGCAACTATACTCGGTAATGGAGCAATCGCTTGCACGCTGGTGGCGGTGTCACGCCGATGATGTTTGTCTGAGATCTCATGAACAGCATCCACGGAAAGTTTTTTAATCTTCATTCGCTTCGAGTAGATTTCGATGCCCTGGTACAGAAGGATCGCAATGGTCATAATTATTGTGAGCCAGATTGGTCCAAAAAAAAAAGCGAAGCGAAAGGCTTGCCATTCCGGTCTAATCCAGCACCATATCTGAGACATATATTTGTTAACAATCAGGCAGCTATATCGTAAAACTTGTCATACACTTTACTCACCACAGCATCTCCATAAACAGGGCCTGATGCCTTCGTTTCCACAAATAGAAAGGCGAAGGCGGGGATAAGCGGTACTATGTAGCACATGATCAAGTAACGCCATTCTAGCCTCTTTAATTCAGATGGTCTGTACTTGTGAGATGCGGTCAGGTATACATTGATGGCCAGGCAAAGGATCCAGAGAGCATTTGTTGGCAAAAACCTACGCTCATAAAATATTTGTCAGTTTCCTTCTGAATCAACTGGGACTTTAGTTCAAATTGGACGAACACACCATTGTAAAAGAAATGCCTGGCATCTACAAAGACTACTACCCGCACCATGAGAGATTCCAGCCCCTCCAATCATAGTGCCAACATTCGCAAGGACGTTACCCCAGGTGGCATAAAACATTAGCCTGTTGACCGGCGTTTGAAATAGCTTGCCCCACAGAAAACTGAGTATGACAAAAAATGACGAAGTGACGGAGACGGCGGACATCACCCGAACACTGGTTTCGATCGCATGGATCTGGTAGCGTGATAGCATTATCAACGCTTGGGTTCTCCCGGATTCATGCGTTGTGCATTAAAGCACGATTGATATCCATTCTGTATAGGGCTGGGATCCTGCACCTGAAACTTCTGTTGTCCGTCTTTTCAAACGACACAACGATCTAAGACGCCACTCCACAAACTCATCTTGTTTAACCATCTAATGGTCATGATTGGATCGATAGAACTTTATCGGAACAGCGAGGTCTTTCCATGGTAATGACAACAGGTAGGGTTTCCTGTTTTGGGGTTTATCAGAGCTTAAAAGTGGCAATGAGATGCCCACATGATACAGAAATGAGACGGGAAAAACCGTTATGATTCCTCATCATCTCTAGAGTCGCATTATCAGAGGGGAGAAACAGATTCCCAACAGCCCATGCTCCCGCTATATAAAGATGATACCAATCGCTTGATGCAGTTGGAAGGTTGGAGGCTCAATGTGGGTCTTTGCTATATAGTCACGTGACTATAAGCGCGCGGGAGCGCGGGAGTGGCTCCCGAAGTGGCTCCCGAAGTTTGGCTATCTTGGCCTCCTTGGCATGTTGATATCTGACATGTCCCAGCCTACCAGGTGTCTCGTCACCATCAAATCATTCGTCAACATCAGATCACAGGCCCGGGAGACTGCAATCTTAAGTACCTGACATCTAATACATTGAGCGATGGACTTATACTGATAATTTCAATCTTAATCTAACGAGATGGGTCCCTTAAAGCCTGTGTATCCATGGAGGTATTCATCTAACATATTTTGCGCCCGCCATCGTTTCGGTCAACGCTACGCCCCCAGATATTTCCCTCATCAATGGATATCCCGACGATATAGTTTTGTTCCAGACCGTGGTAGCTCTCCAGAACTTAGCACTGACTATTGCGAGTTTTACAATTATACGGGGGGGCGCTGGTTGTGGGATGAAGAAAAACAATTACGGCTCCGTTACAAAGAATTCAATGTCAATGCCTTGCAGCGCATAGCAGCCCAGGCAGTCGGAGCGAACAAATGTGAACATATTTCCAAAGTCACAGATGGCGGGCACAGCAAAGTATTCCGGCTTGTAATGGATAACGGCGCGGTTGCTATCGCAAGCATACCATATTTAATCGATGGATTTCCCAAGTACTACTCAACGGCATCAACAGCTGCAACGATGGAATTTGTAAGGCGTTTCGTCTGGTGTTATTTTTTAATTATACTCCCTTTTAACTTTTAAAATAAACGAGGAGTGCTAATGGAGACGCATTCTAGGTGAGAACAATTCTTGGGATTCCTGTTCCTAAAGTTCTAGCATGGGACGCAAACGAGGACAATTCAGTGGGCACGGAGTTTATCCTGACCGAAGAGGCCAGGGGGACTCCACTGAAAGACGTATGGGCAAATATGGAAGCGCGGGATCAGATAGCTTTCATTGAGAATCTTGTCTCAATTCATAAGAAACTCTTGTCTGTAACTTTTAATCGGTACGTATTAGCATTTCCCCACCCACGCAAATAGGAGGACACCGAATTGATACATTTTTTTGGTCAAAGGTATGGAAGCCTGTATTTTTCAAGCTGCCCTATCAAGGGGTCAAGGGCTGAAGTTAAAGGCCTCATTTCCACTGCCGTTCAACGAGATGTCATGGACAAGTTTACAATTGGGCCTACCGCTCGGAATGACTTTTGGTTCAAGGAAAGAGCAAACCTGGATATAGATCGGGGCCCATGTAAGGCCGCACCTAATTGACATATCTTCAATGTTCTTGCTGATGGATCACAGGGGAAACTCCTCTTGAATATGCAATGGCAGTTGGCCAACGAGAAATAGACTGGATGAAAAAGCATCCCAATATGAGGGAGATTGATATTGATTCGGATTGCCCACCTACAGATGATTTGCTATCACCGGAAGCACACAATTCCCTATTTGACAAGTACATACGTATTGCTCCTCTGCTCCTACCGAAGGACCCTACATTGGTGGCATCTTACCTTTCCCTTCCACCTTTTCATAGCGAGAACATATTTTTGGAAGGCAATCGGATCAGTAGTATTCTTGGCTGGCAGCATGTATGGGCGGGACCTTTATTCATTGAGGCCTCCCCGCCAGCACTCGTTAAGGTCAATGGCGATGATTTGACCCTCGATTATCCAGATGAATATAAGAATCTAGCGGAGGACGAACGAAGAGAAATCGACGAAAAAATTGCTCAATCTGTTCTCCGGTACGCTTACCAGAAATTCGTCTCCAGGGACGTTCCCCAGCTTGACAAACTTTTCTCCTTTGATTTCGCGCAAATCAGAGCATTACCTATCCAGCTATGTGTCAGCTCATGGAAAGACGACGACATCGCACGGTTTAGGGAATCCCTTATGAAGATTCAACGGTTGAGTTTCCACTCCCTTTCCCCTCCTCATTTGAAACGCAATCATGCCATAATCCAGTCACGCTGACCATAAAAAACCATAGACGCTGGGACTTCTTGGGTATCGAAGGGCCGATTCCGTACAAATTTACCGACGAAGAATTAAAAAGGCAAGCGGATAGCGCAGACACATTCAACCGACATCAGGACTTCTTGGATCAGATTTCGCCCCTCGTGAGTAGATGTGGATGGACGAGCAACAGTACTTATCCGCAGGCGGTGAGAATGTTTGCTGAGATGGCGAGGGAGGTGAATCAAGATGGCAACGTTGACGAAGGCATAAAAGCTGAATTTCAACAGTTCATCGATAAAGAATCAGAGCTTGAAGGAGAGCCAAAATAAATTCTCCCAACCCCCCATCTTTCTCTTGTCTCCAGGTTGTTATCTTGTACTTGTTTCTCTCTTCGTACTGTATAAATAGCGAGACGATACCCCCCTCAGTCCATTAGATATGCTGTTATATAGCAAATATATTTATAACTTTTCTTTTGCATAAAATTGAGGACTGTTCCTTTGTAGGTGGTGCAGGGCAGAAAATGTTGGTGGGTCGAAAAGTTTAACAATCGCCAAATAATATCTGACGTAGGAGGGGTGATCCTTAGCGACGCTATTTTGCTGGAAAGAACTGCCAGCACCAACATCGAGAGCTGAAAAAGAATCACCACCGCGATATCCAGCAAGCAGTCCACGGAGACAGATAATTTGTCAAACATCGCCCTGAAGTGCTTCCAAGTTACCTTTTTGTAGCTTCGCTATCCGCTTCATCGATCCTGATTGCTCTCCTCCAAGCCAAGACAGCCTACAAAGAAGCGATAACCAGCAAAGCTCGTCTTCATCATGCCATTACTTTAAAAATTCGCCGCACGGATTTTACACAGCAAGATGGAACGCACGAGGATCGCAAAGGTAAGGACAGCTGCTTGAAGTCCGCTGCAAATACACAGGTAGCGCTGACTTTCCATTTTGCATGTACGTAAAAGGTGGACAATGTGACTCTTTCGAGACGGGGAGAGCAAGTCCTCGGCACCCTGCATCTCACACCTCACCACCTCATATTTTCGCATACCCCGCCAGCTACAGCGGCAACCGCAGATCAGCCGCAGGGAGATAGTGTGGTCCCGAAACCAAAAGAGCTCTGGATCACATACCCGATCATTTCCTTTTGCACCTACAGACCAGCAGCCGCATCTTCAAGACAACCATCTTCGATACGGCTCCGATGTCGTGATTTCACATTCGTCTGTTTCTACTTCCCCAATGAGTCTAGAGCAAGAGATGCATATGAAAGCATAAAGTCATGGACTTGCAGGCTTGGTCGAATCGAGAAACTTTATGCGTTCACCTATCAGCCCCCACCTCCGGAACGGGGCCTGAACGGATGGAATCTATATGATCCACGGGAAGAATGGTTGCGATTGGGTGTTGGAAAGCCAGACACAAACTGTGGCTGGAGGATATCTACTATTAATCAAGATTATTCGGTATGGATAAGTCCTGGGTCTTCTATATCGTTAAACATACTAACATGTTTGTTTCTGCAGTTCTCGCCCACCTATCCCGCCCTTCTTCCAGTCCCTTCGACAATGTCTGATAATACGCTCAACTATGCTGGAAGATATAGATCTAGAGCTCGAATACCTGTTCTTACCTATCTCCATCCCGTCAACAACTGTTCCATTACAAGATCTTCGCAACCGCTGGTAGGTGTTCGTGGGAAGAGAAGCATACAAGACGAAAAGCTTTTAGCGGCTATTTTTTCGACATCTCGCCCGGAGAGGCCTCTTGCGAACTATACGCCTCCGTCATCCTTGGAGGCTGAATCATTAAACTCCAGCCAGGAAGAACAACCTAAAGCTCCAGCTGATTTTGAATTATCCAACGCTGAACAACTTGAAGACGAAGTGATTTCTGCGGCAAGGGAGGAAGGTACTGCAAACCAGCCCCAGATTTATGGCGCGCAGCAGCACAATCTTATCGTTGATGCTCGTCCAACTGTGAACGCATTTGCGATGCAGGCTGTCGGCCTAGGGTCCGAAAATATGGATAACTACAAGTTCGCTACCAAGGCTTACCTAGGGATTGATAATATTCATGTTATGAGGGATTCTCTAAACCGTGTTATTGATTCGCTCAAGGAATCTGATGTGACACCACTCGGGCCAAACCGAGATCAGCTTGCGAGAAGCGGTTGGCTGAAACATATCACTGGAATACTTGACGGAGCGGCTTTAATTGCGCGGCAAGTGGGCTTGCAGCACTCTCATGTGCTCATTCACTGCTCGGATGGATGGGATAGAACTGCCCAGTTGAGCGCGTTGAGCCAGTTATGTCTCGACCCATATTATAGAACGATGGAAGGATTCATGGTCCTGGTTGAAAAAGATTGGCTTTCTTTTGGTCACATGTTTCGCCATAGATCTGGATTTTTAAATAGCGAGAAATGGTTCCAAATCGAGAATGACCGATTGGGGGGAGATGCTAACCGTACTGGCTTTGGAGATGCCGGCGGCGCTGGAAAAGCACTAGAAAATGCTCTCCTCAGTGCCAAGGGCTTTTTCAACAGGGATAACGCGAGCCGGGATTCATTGGGCGAATCTGACGGGGAAACTAACGCGCTGGACTTGGATAATTCTAAAAAGCCTGCCTCGCGGATATCCACACCCGCGAACGGCGTTGAGGTGACGAAAATCAAGGAAACTAGCCCTGTTTTTCACCAGTTCCTTGATGCGACATATCAACTGCTATACCAGCACCCCACACGTTTTGAGTTCAACGAACGCTTCCTTCGACGACTCCTATATCATCTCTACTCATGCCAATACGGGACCTTCCTCTTCAACAGCGAAAAGGAACGAATAGATTCAAAAGCCAAGGAAAAGACAAGAAGCGTGTGGGACTATTTCCTCGCCCGGCGAGAACAGTTCACGAACCCGCGATACGATCCTGTCATAGATGATAATAAGAGGGGCCGGGAACGGCTTCTTTTCCCTCGGCCCGGCGAGGTGAGGTGGTGGAGTGAGGCCTTTGGCCGTAGTGATGCAGATATGAATACCCCACGCAGCGGTGTATCTCTAGATAAAGATTACCCTTCTGGCTCGAGGACACCGGTGCTCACTGGAGTTGAGACTGCTGAACGATCTTTCGGCAGCTCTACATTCGCGCAACCTACACCCAGCAATACCATCAGTATGCCGTCCGGGGGGATGGCAGCCCTTGCTACCGGACTAGTGGGCCTAGGCTTACCCACTGGCCGGGAGAGCAGCCAGGGAAAACGAACAGAGGCGGCAGGCAATAAGGAGATGGAAGTAGAGATGCAGTAAATGGGGTAGCATTCATATTATATTTCTAGTCTTTTTCTCCTTTTCTTTCGTTTCTATGCTGCTGGGAGATATGGATGGCGGCGTTGAATATATACATCCGTATCATGCGAGGTTAGTTTCTCTTGGGTTTGCATTGGAACATGAGACGACTGATGGAACAACGTTTCATTTATTTATTTTTATTTCTCAGTATTAAGAATCAACAGGCATATGTATATATGTCTCTTCTCTTTCTCTTTGAGGCATTGAGACCGCATCGTTCCATCACAGCATAATTGGCAAGTTGGTCATGTGTTTAGCATCTCTCTTTAGCAACTCGCAACACAGAGTAATTTGAACAAATTTTTAGTTTCAATGTCTAATGCAATGGAACTACCTAAATCATATGCGTTGCTAATCTCTGATATCATTCAAACCACTGCCGCGGCTGGCGTCCGAGGCGCCAAGCCCAAACCGGCCTAGTGGCCCTAACAATGTCCCAAAGCGGAATCAGGGCAAACCCCAAGCCCTACCTGGAAATATCCCCCACTAAAACCCATCGGCAAGCGAAATCAAACCTCGCCAGGAAGACGAAAGAGAAGAGAAGAGAAGAGAAGCGCTCCCAGCCGTCGCCGTCGCCCAACGAATCTCCCTTCCCACGACCCCCCTTTCATCCCCGGCGGACCTTGTTTTCTTTTTTGTTTACACAAAAAACAAAAAACAACAAATTGCAATCATGGCTGCCGTCCAAGGAGCGATCTCGAAGCGCCGCAAGTTCGTGGCTGACGGTGTCTTCTACGCTGAGTTGAATGAGTTCTTCCAGCGCGAGTTGGCTGAGGAGGGATACTCTGGTGTTGAGGTCCGCGTTACTCCCACGGTTACCGATATCAGTATGTCTCACTGCATTTATCATTTATCTGTTTTTCGTTGAGCTTGTGAGATGGAGAAGGGGAAACGAACGGAAGAGCATACCTATCCCAGTTTACAATGTGTTCGCGGCGTGCAAGGGTTGCAATTGAATATGAGAAAAGGAAGAACTTGCCGAAATTTGCATTGCGTTACATTCGACAAGTTAGGAAAGGGCAAAACAGATAAAAAGATGGAATGGCACGATGGGAACGACGTGGGAACATAGACGAAACGCGTGAATAAAAATATTGAAACATCTGGATAAGAAACTAACCATTTCACTCTTTTTGCACACAATAGTCATCCGTGCCACTCACACTCAAGAAGTTCTGGGTGAACAAGGCCGCCGCATCCGCGAACTCACCTCCCTAATCCAGAAGCGCTTCAAGTTCCCCGAAAACTCCGTCTCCCTCTACGCCGCCAAGGTCCAGAACCGTGGTCTTTCTGCTGTTGCTCAGTGCGAGAGCTTGCGATATAAGCTGCTCAACGGTCTCGCTGTCCGAAGAGCTTGCTATGGTGTCCTCAGATTTATCATGGAGAGCGGTGCCAAGGGTTGCGAGGTTGTTGTGTCTGGGAAGCTGAGAGCTGCCCGTGCTAAGAGCATGAAGTTCACCGTATGTTCATCCATTACATTACATTTTTTATTTATTTTAGCAGTACGATTTTCTTTTGGTCAGCGGGAAAACATATGGGGAGCTAGGAGGCATTTGGTTGAAATCTACTCCTACCTATCCTCAATCCCATCCGCATCCCCATTCCATCACCTCAAAATTCCACTTCCCAGATCCACGCACGCGCAGCACAGTGGGATTTCCCCTGAATATCAACATCAACTAACCAACTCAATACAGGACGGCTTCATGATCCACTCCGGCCAACCCGTCCGCGACTTCATCGACAGCGCCACCCGCCACGTCCTCCTCCGCCAGGGTGTCCTCGGTATCAAAGTCAAAATCATGCGCGGCAGCGACCCCGAAGGCAAATCGGGTCCTCAGAAATCCCTCCCGGATTCCGTCACCATCATTGAGCCCAAGGAGGAGCAGCCCGTCCTGCAACCACTCAGCCAGGACTACGGCGCCAAGGCTCTTGCGGCCCAGCAGTTGGCGGAGCAGCAGCGATTGGCTGAGCAGCAGGAGGCGGAGGCTGCGGGTCAGGTTGCTGGTGCCGAAGGTGTAGTGGAAGGGGTTCAGGAGTAAATTTTTGTTTGTTAATGATGAATGGAGCTCTTTTTCTGATGTTCTGTTAAAATGTTCTAATTTTTTTTTTCTTTTTTTTTTCTTTTTTTTCC